TGGGTCTCTCAGCCTTGAATTTGGGGGAAGTATCAAGCGGGAACCTCGTTTGTAACTGAATTGTGAGGAAGTCTTAGGCGTGAGCCCCCTTTCCAATGGGTCTCGCAATTCATGTAGATAATCCGAGCGGGTCATCCGAAACGTGTAACTGCCGTCACTTTTGGGCTCCCCAGGCTTGCATTTTGGAGAGGTATCAATCGGGAGCCTCGCCTGCGAGTGAATTGTGAGGAAGTCTCGGGCGGGAACCCCCTGCCTATGTGTCCCGCATTTCATGTTGGTAACCCGAGTGGTCATCCCAAACGTGTAACCATCGTTTCATTTTGGGCTTCTCAGGCTTGATTTTGGGGGAAGTATCAAGCGGGAGCCTCGTTTGTGAGTGAATTGTGAGGAGTTCTCAGACGGGAGCGCCCTTTCCATGGGTCCCGCATTCCATGTAGATAATCCGAGCGGGTCATCCGAAACGTGTAACTGTCGTCAGTTCTGGGCTCCTCATGTGTCGCCGTTCATGTTGCCTCCTGCCTGAGCGCGGCTGCGCCCCGCTCGAAGCCCGCGGGGTTGTCCCAACAGCTTGGCCCGCCGGGTTGTCCCGACCGCCTGCCCCCGCGCGCCAGCGGCCCGCGGGTCTGTCCCAACGGCTTTACGAACCAGCCGTCGGGGAATGCGTGCGCTCTGGCCGCGGCGGTGACGGCGTCGAAAAACATCGATTTGCTTGCCCCGACCAGGGGGAAGGGGAGGAACGCGCGGAGAATAAGCCGGGGAAGGACGAGGACGAGGAAGGGGTAGGGAGGGGGTGATGATGAGGAGGAAGTGCAGCAGGAGGAGGAGGAGGAGGAGGAGGAGGAGGAGGAGGAGGAGGAGGAGGAGGAGGAGGAGGAGGAGGAGGAGAGAAGGAGCTGGAGGAGGAGGAGGGGGAGGAGGAGGAGGAGGAGGAGGAGGAAGAGGAGGAGGAGGAGGAGGATGACAACTATTATGAGGGTGAGCAGGTGAGGGCAGAACGGCGGGCGAGAGGAGAGTGTCCGTCAGGGCGAGGAGGAAAGGGGTAAGGGCAAGCTGAACATATTCTCGTGTGGGGTCCATCCGTCGGAGTAGTTTTGTTTGGGTAGCGATGATTCTGGGGCGTCTGCAGAAGCCGAGCTCGACTAACAAGGCGAAATTGGCCAACCCGAACCCAGACGGGGCACGCCACATGCTGCCGCCCCTGGGGCCGCTTGGGCTCCAAACGGTGCGTCCTTTCTGCTTCCAGCCTCCCTCCATCATGCGCCGTACGGCCTTACGCAACTGGCTCATCAGCAACTAGTTGGTTGGGTTGGCACCTCTTTCTTTTCTTTTTCTTTGTTGTTGTGCATTGCTCATCGCATGTGTAGCAGCAGAGGTATGGAGCACGGATGTCCCAAGCCCCGCGTTGCATCATCAACCATCATGCGCCTCGGGGTGCAAGACGGTTATGCGACCCCCCTTCCCCCACCTTCCGCCGAAACGGGAACACGGTCCTCCGATGGTGCCCGCGCGCGGGCGCCGTGACGTGGGCGTGTGTTTGGGGACTTGCAGAATCGCGTCGTTGCGGCGGCAAGACGAGGTGGAGGAGGAAGAGGGGGAGGAGGAGGAGGAGGAGGAGGAAGAGGAGGAGGAGGAGGAGGAGCAGGAGGAGGAACAGGAGGAGGAATATGAGGAGGAGGAGGAGGAGGAGGAGGAGGAGGAGGAGGAGGAGGAGGAGAGAGAACAGGAGGAGGAGGATGAGGAGGAGGAGGAGGAGGAGGAGAGGAGGAGGAACAAGCGGAGGAGGAGGAGGAGTAGGAGGAGGAGTAGGAGGAGGAGGAGGAATAAAAGGGAGGAGGACAAGACGAAGTGGAGGAGGAGCAGGAGGAGGAGGAGAGGAGGAGGAGGAAGAGGAGGAGGAGGATGAGGAGGAGGAGGAGGAGAGGAGAGAGGGAAAAGGACCAGGAGGAGGAGGAGGAGGAGGAGGATCAGGAGGAGGAGGAAGAGGAGGAGGAGGAGGAGAGGAGGAGGAGGAGGAGGAGGAGGAGGAAGAGGAACATTTGGATTAGGATTAGGATGAGGAGGAGGAGCAGGAGGAGGAAGAGGAGGAGGAGGAGGAGAAGGAGGAGGAGGAGGACCAGTGTAAACCCAAGAGTCATCAACGGTGTTGGAATTGACCCTCCCTCGAAGCTGCTTATTCATAGGCCCCTACAATGTTCATTTCCATTGAGGGAACTGCATCGTTAGAAAACATCCGTTTGAAAACCGTGAAGCATGCCAAAACATTGTTTTTGGGATTCCAGAGCCACGGATCAACCTCACTGCTGCGTCTTGACGATCCGGAACCGTGCCAGAACGCTATTCTTGGGATTTCAGCACCGCGAATCAACATAATTGTTGTGCCCGCATAGTCCCGAATCTTTCCACAACGCCATTGCTGGTACGTTGACCATGGGGATTCGTGACATTTGTGCAAATTTTTCGAATGTGCGCGGCCGCTAAGGCGTGTGCCACATTTTGAAAACGACCCGCCCTCACTCCGTGAAATCTTTGCAATTTTTTGAAACGAATGTGCGCGGCGCACTGGCGAGAGCCACATTTCGAAAAGGAACTTCCCTCCATCCGTGAAGCTTTTGCATTTTTTTTTAAACGAATGTGCGCGGCGCTAAGGCGAGGGCCACATTTTGAAAAGGAACCGCCCTCAATCCGTGAAGCTCGTGCAACTTTTCAGACGAATGTGCGCGGTGCTAAGGTGAGAGCCACATTTTCAAAACGACCCGCCCTGAATTTGTGAAGCCGTTGCCAGTTTTGAAGCTGGAGAGTCCTAAGTGGTGAGGAAGTCTCTGGCGCGACGTCCGGACCGCCCTAAACATTGGCCTTGGGGTACGACAGGGAGAAGTTATTTATATGGAGAAGGAAAGGAGGAGGAGGAAAAAGAGGGGGAGGAGGAGGCGGAGGAGGAGGAGGAGGAGGAGGAGGAGGACCAGTGTAAACCCCAGACTCATCAACGATGTTGGGATTAACCCTTCCTCCAAACTCTCTCCTCATATAGGCCCATGCGAGGGTTCACCTTCACTGGGGCACCTGCCTCGTTGGGAGACTTTATGTTTGAAGAAGCGTGCTAAAGGACCGTTCTTGGGACTCCAACGCCGCTGAATCGTGCCAGAACACCACTCCTGGGACCGCAGCGCCGCGAATCAACGTAAGTGTTGCGCCCGCACAACCCTGAATCTTTCCACAACACCTTTTTTTGGTACGTTGACCATGGAAACCCGCGAAATTGTGAAGCGAAAACCACATTTTGAAAACGGCCCGCCCTCAACCATTGGAATTCTGGCAACTTTTCCAATCAAATTCGCGCGGCGCTAAGGCGAAAACCACATCTTGGAAGCGACCCACCTTTCACATGTGAAGCTGCTGACATTTTTAATGCTTTATGATAATAAGTTGAGAGGAAGTCTCAGGCGAAACGCCCAGCACGCCCTTGCGACCGGCTTCCGGGTGCGACAAGGAGGAGTTTTTTAGAAGGAGAAAGAATGGAGGAGTAGGTAGGGGAGGAAAAGGAGGAGGTGTAGTAGGACGATCCAGGAGGAGCGATTGGAGCAGCGTGGCGGAGGTAGGGCGAGGCGGGAACGAACAATGATGGAAGAGGAGGAGGAGGATGATGTGGAAATGGAGACGGACGACGATGATGACGATGATGATGATGATGATGCTAATGCTGATGCTGATGCTGATGGTGATGATGATGATGATGGTGGTGGTGGTGATGATCATTGTGATGGTGATGGTGATGGGTGATGGTGATGGTGATGGTGATGGTGCTGGTGGTGATGATGATGATGATGAAGATGATGTTGGTGATGATGATGATGATGCTGCTGCTGATGATGATACTGCTGCTGCTGCTGATGATGATGATACTGATGCTGATGCTGATGGTGATGCTGATAATGCTGCTGATGATGATGCTGCTGATGATGATGATACTGATGATGATGTTGATGATGCTGATGATTGTGATGCTGATGATGATGATGATGCTGCTGCTGATGATGATGATGATGATAATGATGCTGATGCTGATGATGATGATGATGACGATGATGATGATGATGATGATGATGATGGTGATGATGATGATGATGACGATGATGATGATGATGATGATGATGATGATGATGATGCTATTGATGGTGATGATGCTGCTGATGATGATGATGATGATGATGATTATGATGATGATGAAGATGATGATGATGATGATGATGATGATGATGTTGATGATGATGATGATGATGATGATGATGATGATGATGATGATGATGATGATGATGATGATGATGATGATGATGATGATGATGATGATGATGATGATGATGATGATGATGATGATGATGATGATGATGATGATGATGATGATGATGATTGATGATGATGATGATGATGATGATGATGATGATGATGATGATGATGATTGATGATGATGATGATGATGATGATGATGATGATGATGATGATGATGATGATGATGATGATGATGATGATGATGATGATGATGATGATGATGAGGAGGAGGAGGGAGGAGGAGGAGGAGGAGGAGGAGGAGGAGGAGGAGGAGGAGGAGGAGCAGGAGCAGCAGGAGGAGCAGGAGGAGCAGGAGCAGGAGCAGGAGCAGGAGCAGGAGCAGGAGCAGGAGCAGGAGGTAGAGGAGCAGGAGCAGGAGGTAGAGGAGGAGGAGGAGGAGGAGGAGGAGGAGGAGGAGGAGGAGGAGGAGGAGGAGGAGGAGGAGGAGGAGGAGAAGGAGGAGGAGGGATAGCTGAACCCCCAGAGGTCTCGACCTTTTCCCAGGGGCCCCCTTTTTGTCCTGAGTCGCTTTTGATTCTCCCATGTCCGGCAAGGCCCCCCCGATGGTGAACTCAGCAACAAATTTGCCGTCGCGTTTTTTGCTTGCAGCGCGAGGGGGCCTGGGGGAGGCGGAGGAAGAGGATGATGAGATTCGTGCGGCGGGCGCCGCGGCCCAGGCACCCGCAGCAGGCGTGGCAGGCCCCTGGCGGCGGCTGCCAGCTGCAGAACTGGCAGGCGCCCGGCTCCGCCCCTCCCCGCTCGTCGGTTGACCCCTCCTCCTCTCGGCGGCGGGCGAGGGGGGAAGCGAGAAGGAGGAGCCTTCTCCTCGGAAGGCCTCCGACCTTCTGAGAGGCTTTTCACGTCCTTGGGGAGGGCTCAGGCAACTTTTTAGAAGGCCTGGGGACTGCCCAGCCTTCTGCGAAGGCCCGCCCCGTCTCACTTCCCCTCCCCAGGCTCGCCGCCGATCCTCCTTCGCCCCCCCCTCCCTTCGCAATCCCCCGCACATTGATCAAGGTGTGGGTGTGTTCGCAGCCTGACCCGAGGCTGGTGTTAAACGAGCGTTGACGACAATAACACCTACGGTCGCATTTTGCTCTTCTTCGGTACTTTTCCACCGGGCTCCTGCCGAAGGCGTCCCTTTGCAAGAACTTCCGCTTCGGCACCGCCTGCATCCGAGGCTATGCCTCCTCTCGGCCTCGCTCTGAGGCTCCGCCGCTTCCTCCCTCCTCTTCTCTGCCTAATTCAAGCCTCGCGCGGCCCGCTTAGCTTCGACCGGAAGAGGTGCGCTCTCGACCGGCGGATCAAAAAGTGTGTTCGCAACTTGCCGCTCCATGGGGGGGGGCGCCAACGAAACGCAGGCCCTGTTGGTCGAAGAGAAACGAGTTCTGTGAAGAGTGACGATGTACTTGTGGAGATCTTCGCGGATTTCGCGGGCCGGCGCTGAAGACCCCCGGCGACGCCTTCCCTGGCGCGCTCCGCGCGCGGGGTCCAGCGCCGATCCGGGAAGTCCGTGCGGACCTCCGGGGGCCTCTGCCTGCGAGGGCCAGCTCCTCTTCTGGAGCGGCGAGGGCTGGGCGCGCTCGGATGGCCTTCTGTGGGGCAGCCCGAGGCGCTGGAGGTGTGGACTCGGGAGCCCTGGCGCGAGAGGGCGGCCAGCTTCCTGCGTCCGAGGTTCGAGGTCGAACGGGGGGCCTCGAGGTTCGAGGTCTTCGCGCGTCTTCGTCGGGGCTCCGCGGTCTCCCGGCCTCGGGGTGCCTTCCAGCGACTGCGCCCCGCCGAGAGCGCTCCGAGGGTGCCCAGCGATCGTCCGGAGCGGCCGCCGTAGGAGTCGAGACGGCGGTGCCGCGGGCCGCCGCGGGGGGAGCGAAGAGAGGGGTCGAGAGGGCCTGCTGGCGGCGCGCGCGGGGGGCTGGCGCGAGGGGGGGGCGGCCTGCGGGGAAGGCGGGGGGGGGGGGGGCTGCTCTCGAGGCAAGAGGGAGCCCAGTTCGGAGGGGGCCCGGGAGCTGCCGCGAGGGCCTCTGTGGGGCATCGGCTCCCGCGCCCTGCAAGGAGGGCCCCTGCCCTCGGAGGAGCCCACCCCGTCGCTGCAAGAAGGCCGCCCCCCCTCGCGCCCACCCCCTCGTGCGCACCGCACAGTCAGGTGCGCGCTGGTTGAGACATCGGCGGCCCTCCTCCTCCCTCGTTCTCCTCCCTCTCTCCCTCCTCCTCCCCGCCCCCCTGCCTCTTCTTCTTGCCCTCCTTCTCCTCCTCTTCCCCTACCCCTGCCCCGCGGAGCACTTCTCTCACAACTTCTGGAGCCCCTCGCTTGACCTCGCGACAGTCGCAGAACGGATCGGAACGAGAGGCGGGCCCCAGGGGTCCCAGGCCGCGAAAAAGTCACGACATCGGAGGCCTGGATGGGGGGTGAAGAGAGGAGCGGGGAAGAGGGGGGGCAAGGCGAGAGGCAGGGCGGAATGGTAGAGGAGGGGGGGCCAAGGAGAGAATGGAGGAAGGGGGCGGTGAAGAGAGGGGGGGGGAATCAGATTGAAGGAATGGGGGTGAGCAAGTGTGCACTCCACGGCGGGGGCGTTGGTTAAAGGGACGTGCCCAGGAGGCTCGGGACCCTGGAGGATTTCTTGGCTGACGGGGGCGGTGGTGATATCCACGGCCAATCCACGATGGGAGTCCCACCGGCTTCGGACCCTGGATTCCTTATCCAGTGGTTCCTTATCCATATAACCCTCACAGTCCGTAGCCATCTGGCTCAAGCCTGTGTTCCGCCCGCTTCTGCGCGCGCGGGACCGCTTGGGATGGCACGGGCGGAGTCGCCCCATTGCGGCGATTCCAGCATAGAAGCATGCGGCCGGCGATCGAGAGCGACGCGGACGGCAGCACGGAGGAGGGCCTTGGTGGCAGCCGACGCGGGGCTTGCAGCAGCTCGTGCTCAAGTTCGAGCACTCGAGGAGCAGCTGCGGCACAAGACGTCGGAGTTCAACCAGCTGCTGCGGCACCTGGGCTACGGGGATCACCCGGACCCTCATGCAGACGAACTGCGCCAGCGGTGGATGGGCATCGAACCTGTTCTTCGAGCCCAGATCGAGGCCCGCGATGGCGTGGCGGCCGCCCCGCTCACCGACGTGGACATCCTGCGGCGGAATGTTTCTGAACATTCGGCAGTCGCGCCACGGGCGGCGGCCAGCGGCAGGGAGCTCAGGCGCTTCCAGAAGTCCGCGAGGCTGGCGCCGCCGCGGGCGCTGCGGCAGGAGGCGCGCGGCGTGCAGCTCCGCAGGGAAAGCCCAGCTTTCATTCCAGGTGCGGGAAGCTGGGAGCCGTTGCACGGCATGGGCGAGGCGGCGGCTGGCCTGCGCTGCACATGCGGCGCGGTGGTCTACAGCCAGTGGGAGCCCTTCGATACGAAGACGCTCGGCAAGGACGGCCAGCACGCGCAGCTTCTCGGCAGCGAGCAGAGCATCGGCAGTTGCGAGATGCAGGAGACGCTCGACGGCCTCACGGAGGACCAGGGCAGCCAAGGGGACGGCGGTGCCGATCCCGAGATCGGGCAGCAGTGCATCGCGCGCGATGACGAGGAGCTGCTGCAGGAGGACTGCCTGGCAGAGAAGCTGGACTGGACGGCCTCGGCCCACAGGCTTCTGCTGGTTTCTGCAGAGGCCACGGGCCAGCAGCCGTTCGTACGGCGGCGTGCGCGCCTGGATCGAGAGCGCCGCGACCGTGACGTCGCCCAGCTCTGCGCCTCGTTCATGGAGTTGATCGGGCGGTGAGCGGGCGCCGCGGGACCCCGCGGGACCCCGCGCAGGTCCCGCGGCTTTGAATGCGTGCATGAAACCGCCGTGCTCGCGCGGCGCCTACACAGATAAAAAAATATATAACCCTCACAGTGCTGTAGACTTCGTTTATTCCTCCCCCACCGCGAGCACGGGATGTGCTCTTCGCGACCGGACTAGCTTCCAAACTCGCAATGATTTAATTCATTGCCTCAACCTGCATTGTCCGTTGCATCTGTATCGCTCGATTGGAGTCTCATCGGGCCGCTTCCGTGAAACAGCATTTTTCCGCAGCGCGGACTTGGGACCTGGGCCCCGAGCTTCCCGCGGACTGGCACTGCCTCCTGGGTCGTCTCCTGCGGGCCGCGGCCCCCGACCCGGGCCCCGGAGACACCGGACCGGAAGTGGCGCCACTCCAGGCCGCCTCCGCGCTGCCAGGGGCGGTGGCTGCGTGCAGTGCTACAACGCACTGCCGAGAGCGGGGGGTGCAGGATTGACTGGGGGACCCTTCGCAGGAGTGACCTTTGGTGCGGGACCACTGGCCCCCCCCCCGATGGCCGAGTGCGATGCGGCAGCAGCGGCCTGCGCGCTTGAGCTTGGCCCCTCCGCGCCCCCCAGAAGCCGCATGCCAAAGGTCACTCTTGCCTGGGGCCACTCTTACGTGCAGCCGAAAGGAGCAGGAACGAGGAAGGAAGGGCGAGGGGACGTGGGCCCACGTCTCAGGACCACTGGGCGAAAACCGCCCCAAGCTGCTCTGGGAAGGCCCCAGCCCCCGGCAAGGGCCCTCCTGGCGGCCGAAGGCAGCCCCAAACCCTCACCTTCCATGGCGACCGGAGGTGCCGCAGGGCTCCCCCCGCGGGACGCCCGCGCCCGAAGAGGGAGGCCGCTTCTTGGGCCGTCTTCCAGACATCTTCAGGCCTCAATTGGGCTTGTTTTGGGCCATCTTGGCCGTCTTGGAGGCCGTCTTGGCCGTCCTGGAGGCCCTCTTGGGGCCGTTTTGGGGGCTTCCTTGTCCGCCCTCGTCTCCGCGCCCCGCAGCCCCCGCGGCACGCCCTTCGCCCGAAGGCGAGACCGCGTCGTCGCCCGCCTCCGTTTCCGTGCAGGAAACGCGCGCTGGCCGCTCGCCCGCCGCCCTGACTTCACATGCCGGGCCATCTGGTTCGTTGCGGCGCCGAGGTCTGCTCGGAAGGCTTCTTTCTCGCCTCGCCCGAGCAGTCGAAGAATAGCAATATCAGGAATATTGACAAGATTAATGCCGCTATTATTATAAATAATATTATTATCAAGCATCGTGTTACTACTCACAATCATAACACAATCGAATTATCATATGGTTAATACTAATAACATTAGCAATAGCAGTAATAACAACAATTTTAATAATACCAGCAGTACTACACGTACAACAGCAGTAACACTCATAATAACACTCGTACTGCCAATACTAATCATATTCGGACGAATGATAATAAACAATAATAACAAGAATACGCATCATATAGTAGTACTACTCATTCCTTCGGTGCAGCGCCGCGCCGGCAAAGGGCACAGACGTCTTGGCGCGGCGGACAGGACGGTCGGGCTCGCAGCGTAGGGCGACCCCATGGTGCACCCCTCACGCCGACCCGACCCCGCAGCCTGGCCGCTGGCGCTGCACCACAGACCCCCGCGACAAGCTCCCCCCCAAAAGCCGAGAGGCCAAAGAGTGGTGAGGGTGGGGAAAAATGGGATCCCGCAGGCGCATGGGCCCCTGCGGGGGCCCGCCTGCAATGGGATACACAACTGCGGCCGCAAGCGCATGGGCCCCTTCTGGGGCCCGACTGCTCCTGGCCCCCGCAGGCCACTGGGCCCCCGCAGGGAGCCGCCTGCCCTTCGGCCGTAATTTGCTATCCCGCCACGGACCCGGGCGGACGGTGGGCGCGCGCCGCCACCGAGAGGCACGGCGGCCCACTCGAGACACGAAAGCGACGGACGAGGACCAGCACGACAGCCCAGACGAGCAGCGGCATGGCACGCAAGGGCGAATGGCGCGGATGAGCGAAGGAGCGACTGAGGGACAGAGCGACTGAGGTAGTCGAACGCGGTGCGGCACCAGGAATTTATCCGCCTGCCAAAGCTCTGGTTGACAGGGTATATATTTCCTTCGGTGCGGCGCCGCGCCGGCAAAAGGCACAGACGTCTTGGCGCGGCGGACAGGACGGTCGGGCTCGCGGCGTAGGGCGACCCCATGATGCACCCCTCACGCCGACCCAATGCACGCACAGCCGCAGCCCGCCGTGCCAGCCGGCGCAACCCCCTCACGTAGGTCCGCCCCTCGCATCCCAACGCGTACGTCGTGCGCACGGCGCCGCTGAGGCCCTGTGGCTCGAAGTCGGAGCTGTCCGACACCCTTCATCCGGTTTCCTCCCCCTCGAAGCGCCGCGCGCGCCTCGGCCCCGCCCCGAGAGGACCGAAAGGCGGCGCGCGTCGCACCTCGCGCCTCCAGCCGCCCTCCTGTTTCCAGCGCCAACCCTCGTCGACCAGGAATACAGGGGTCAGCGCCGCGTCCGGGCAAGCCTGGGCCGAGCGCCTCTTCCCGCCTCTACCTGAGCGCGCGCTCGGGTGCGCGCGCCCGCGGCCCAGCCCCGCGGGAAGTGTTCCTCCCCGCGCGCCTCTTCGCTTGCCTTGCGCAGAAACTCGCGCCGCAATTTCCCGTCGTGGGAGCGCTCGCCCGCGTCAGCATTCAGGCGTGGCGCTTCTCGGCGGAGCGCCGCGGTGCCTAGGAAATCTTTCGCCGTCGCCCGTTCTATGCCGCCCGACGCCGGCAATTCGCCCACCGGAGGGAATCCCTCCTCGATCGGCAGCGAGAGGTTCGCATCGCTCACCCTCGCCGCCGCCGGCGTCTCCCGCGATGGGGCGGGCGCGCAGGGGGCGGCCTCTCCCCGCGCTGGCCCGCGCCCCCGTCCCGATGCCTGCAAGAGCCGCCATTTTGTCTCCGGCCCCAGCACGGCTTGTTCGTGGGGCGGAAGCCCCCGATGATGCGCCTCCAATGACAATGGGCCCTCCTCCTTCGCCCTGGCTCGGGCCGCCGCGCCCGCCGCCCCGCCCTCGCGCAGTGCGCCCCGCCGAGCTGCACCAGAGGTCCGCCTCGTCGCCGCCGTCGCCCTCGGCCGCCGCTCTCTCGGCGCCCGCCCCGCGCGCTGCCGAGCCACAGCCGCCGTGCAGCCGTGCGCAGCGCCCGAGCAAGGCACGAGTGGGGGGCGCGCGCGCGGGCGCACCGCCGCCTGCCGCGCCGGGTCCAGCACCCGCCTGCGACTCTCCCAGTACTGCCAGGCGGTCGCCCGGCGGCGGTGCAGCCCGCGCCCATCGGTCGCGGCGCGGCAGCCCGCCGCGTCGGCCCGCGCAGCAGGGAGCTGCTTGGACCCCTCGCGCTCGAAGAGGCGCCGGGCCCACCCCCAGTGGTCCAGCGGGGACATCCGCTTGACTCTCTCTCTCTCTCTCTCTCTCTCTCTCTCTCTCTCTCTCCGTCTGATAGCAACTCTTCTATTGCCTGCCGCAGGGCAAGCGCGTGCGAAGCGCGAGCCCCGCCGCCGCAGCACGCGCGCGCGCGACCTCTCATGGGCGTTGCCAGCGAGCTTCGTCTACGAACGATCCCTCGACCACGCCCGGGGGCAACGATGCCTCGCCGTCCCAGCGCTCGTCAATTCCTGCGCTATTCTCAAATCCTGCCTGACTCGTTGCAGCGCGCGCGCCTCCTCTTTATGGGTGGTATTAGCGAGCCTTGTCTAAGAGCGCTCCCTCGCCCGCGCCTGGGGGCAGCGATGCCTCCGCCATCCCAGCGGTCGTCCATTTCTGCATTATCTCCCCACTCTGCCTGCCCCCCCCGCGGCGGTCGCGATCGACACAGACCCCCTCGCGGGTTCGCACGAGGCCAGCGCGCGCGCCGCGCCTCGCTTTTCCTTGGGAAATCTGCCTGCAACGTCGCAGCGCGAGCGCGTCGCCGCCTCGTGGGCGGTGCTTACGAGCCTCGTCAAAGCATGCTTCCCCAACCGCGCCAGGGTGCAGCGATGCCTCGCCATTTTAGCGCTCGTCAATTTCTGCGCTATCTTCCCACGCTGCCTGCCCCCCCCGCGGCGGTCGCAAGCGGCCCCCATCGCGGGTTCGCACGGGGCCAGCGCGCGCGTCGTGTGGTGCTTTCCCACGGCAACTTATCGCGTGCGACAGCTTCTGGAGCGGTGGTGCGCCGTCACTCCTTGTGGCCGCCCTTCCTCCATTCGCCCCGCGGTGCCCACTTGCTCTCGCCGTCTCGCCGCTCTTTGCGGCCGGCTGCTTGCCGGGGCCGGGGCCGCGCGCGGACGCGGAAGACCCCCGGCCGCCGCGCGGCGAGCGGGGCCTCGCCGCGCCCCACGCCTTGGGCGGCCCCTTCGGGCTCTGGTCCGGCCTGCGCACCGCGGACTGCGGCCGCGCGGGCGGAAGCCCAATGGGCTCTCCTGTTGTCGGGCGCGCGACTCTCCGCTCCCCGGCCCGCCCTGGCACGCGACGCATCGCCGCGTGGTTTCTGGCGGGCTGGGCGGCGCACCCCGCCTCGGCTTCGCCGCTGCCATTGCCTTAGGCTCGGACTCCGCCTTGGCCTTGGCGGCCTCGTGAGCGCGTCCCAGTCCAGGGTGCGCAGCAGCGCATCAACGCCGTCCGCGCCCTGCTCCAGCGCGCGCGGCCCGTGCAAAAGAAGTTCGGGTCGCTCCCGGCGCGTCGCCCCAGCGCAACATTCTCGCCTTCTGTCGCATGGTGATATCGTAGAAATATGCGGTGCGGGTTCCGCCGTGCTCCCCCGCAATCCGGCGCGAAAGCCTGGGTGATGCTGCGGCGCGTTCCCCATTCGCGCAGGAGCACCTGCCCGTGAACGGTACTGCGCCGAAAGTCGCCCCTCCGCGCCCCGTGCGGTCGCGCGGTCCCTTCGCGGCCTGGAAGTCGGCATATGACGCGAACTCCACGCTAGCCGTCGCCGTGGCCGCCCGCTTGGCCGCCGCCACTTGGCGCGGTTCTCTGCCGACCCCCTGGGCAAGACCTCGGAAACCGCGGGCCTCGCCCCCCCGCGCGCGCGAGAGACACGGGGCATCCCGCAGCGCCACGTCCAGATCTGGCACCCGCACCACGGCGGCTTGAAGTGCAACTGCAAGTCTTCTCCCTCGGCGCTTCCCAAAAAGCGCCGCCCCTTGGCTGCCGCGGCCTATGCCGCGCATGCCGCGCCGCGCGCGCCCGGCGCACGCTCCGCCGACAACGCTTTCGCGAGCCTTTCGAAGCGAATCAAGGCCTCCTCCGTCGGGAAGGCATCGCCTGGAAAAACGTCGAGCCCGACTCCTGCGCGCGCCGCAAGCGCACGCGCGGGCGCATGCGCTTGCGGCGCGTCGGCGCATGGGCCCCGCGGGAGCGGGCCCGCCACGGGATGCACAAAGGCGGCCGCAAGCGCATGGGCCCCTTCGGGGGCCCGCCTGCTCCTGGCTCCCGCAGGCCCCTGGGCCCCCCCCAGGGGCCCGCCTGCCCTTCGGCCGTCACTTGCTATCCCGCCACGGACCCGGGCTGACGGTGGGCGCGGGCCGCCACCGAGAGGCACGACGGCCCACCCGAGGCACGAAACCGACGGACGAGGAGAAGTACGGCAGCCCAGATGTGCAGCGGCATGACACGCAAGGGCGCATGGCGCGGATGAGCGAAGGAGCGACTGAGGACAGAGTGAGTGAAGTAGTCGAACGTGGGGCGGCGCCAGGAATAAACCGCCTGCGTAACGTCGGTCTTACAGGGTATTTTAAGATCATAGGATTAGTGCTAAGACAACCAGTAATAGTAATACGGAGAGTATTAATGATACCAATAATGCTACTAATAATAATCATAAGAAGAAGAAAAACAGCCCCCCCGCCCCTCTCCTCGTTCCCCTCGGAGAGAAGGGGGGTTTGGAGGGCTAGGGGCTCGGTGCTTGGAGGGGAGTGCTTGGGGCTGGGACTGGGGAGCTCTGCCGGGATACCGAAGTTGGGCCGGGCCGGCGAGTTCCTTTGCCGCTTCCTGTGGTCAGTTCCTTCCTCCTCCTCCCCTCGGTTCCCAGACCGCCACTTGCACGCGCTCGAGCGAGCACAGAGGGGCCCCGCCGAACACGGGGACGGCCTCCTTCTCCGCCCGTGCCGCGCGCCCCGGCCCAGCCCGCGAGGCGCAGCAGGCGTGGATCCAGCCCCACAGGGACGACTACGCGGAGCTCGCGCAGCAGATGTACCACCAGGCAGGCTTCGCGTATCCTCTGGCCTTTTTGTTCAGTGCATGTGCATCTATCTGCACGCTCGTTGTGCAATCAGCTTTGTGCCGCCCGCCCCAGACATTGCCTCTCGCCGCCAGACCGTCGTCGCGCGGCCGCCGACCAAAAAGTATCCTCTGGCCTGCCGTTCCAGCGAGGAGGTTCACGATGCTTCGCTGGGCTGGGGATGTGGGGTGTCTCGAGCGAGAGGGGGTGGCCACGCCACGAGGGGGACCTCCCCCTGTCTCCTCCCGCTGATGGTCGCTGGTGGTGGCGGTGGTGTCGCTTCTCTTTGTTCCTGGGTCCAGGGGGGGTGGGGCGGAGCAGATGTGCTCGAGCGGGGCCAAGGCGACCAGGGGTGGGCGGGAGCCCCTATGCGCGCGTCGAAAAGGTCGGCGGAGATTCTGCTTGCGCTCGACCAGAGATCCTGGCGTCGCTCTTCTTGCGCGCTGGGCGTCTTCGCCTCGTCTCGGTCCTCCGGACCTTCACGCATCGATCCGGCTCGGGGGATGCCGCTGGAAGATGTGGTCGAGGTCTCCGGTTGCGATTATCCACGAGAGGCACGAGAGTTGTCGCAACGTCGGATCTCAGGGTCCGCCGCTGGGGCCCGTCGTCGGGCCGTGGGGCCATTCCAAATTCGATCCAGGGTGAAAAGCCGGCCGCGCCGGATCCCCGGAGGGTTCCAGGGGACAGACCTTGAGGGCACAACAAGGTTGGTCGGCTGGAGGAGGGAGGTCGGAGGAAGGCCGGGGTTTTGGGAAGGGTGGTATCAGCCCCACCGCCTTGTCATCTCCCCACAGCATGGTCTTTCCTGGCGCCTGGAAGCGCTGTGAGGACCAGTTGCACGCGGCTGATTCGATAGCTCCCCCTTCGCTAGGCCCCTCTTCCTCCCCAGCGATCGGCAGGAATGCCCTCCTCCTCTCCCCCTTCTTCTCTGGGGGGGCCACCGCCACACCAGTGTTGCTCTCCACTGCTTGGCCATCGCCCCGCGACGTCAATTCACGTTGCGTTGACCAATTTTCTTGTCCGGCGCGCTGCCGGGGAAGGCGGAATTGCCTCCCTGCGAGGTTACTGTCTTGTACTGTCCAACGGGATGCCATACATTTCTTTGCACATGAGCTGTCAGAGCCTCGGCCTACGGCCACGCACGCACGCGTGCTTTGCTATCACCAGCGCCGGATTGGCGGAACATCCCTCCCCGAGTGCGCCTCGACTACACGTAAGAGTCATCCTTCGCTGGAGTGATTTTTGGTGCTGGCCCAAAGGGGGTCGGGTGATTTTCTTGTGGAATGAGCTTTGCCTCGCGTCGGCATCCGCATCGCGTGATTGCGCTCGCATATGAGCGCGCCAGGTTTGGGCCCACCCCTTGCAATCGACAGCAACGCATACACGTCGCACCCTGCACCTTGCATTTGTTACCCGAGGGGGAGCCGGTCGACCAGACGGCGCGTTTTCTGGCCCAGGACCAGTCCCCAAGCCCACTCAAATCGCGAAACGTCTGGCTTGAATATTTTGGGATATCTTTGAACATCTTTGAGTATCTGTGAATATTTTTGAATCTGTTTTTTTCGAACCAACGGGGATCTTTACTGTCATAAGTTACCCAAAGAGATTCAAACATATTCCAGTCTCTCGGGTGGGGCCGGTTTTGGCCATGACGCTGGGCCTGGTCAGACGTCTTCGCGATGCAGCCGGGCAGTGCCAGACCTCATCGCGGTGGCCCCCGGCAGTGTTTGCTTTCGCAGGGTTTTCGAAGATTCATTCGGGGCCCTCGAATTCAATCGGCGGAATTCCGCCGTGGCCCGCTGGCACAACACATCATTCGAGTGGCGCCCCGCCGATCGTTGATGCGGCGCGGCAACGCCGGCTTGCGCGATTGCGTTGGGCCCCCCCGGGCGCCCGTGAAGCCGCGCACCGAAGGTCACTTTAGCTTAGGGCCGCTCCTACGTGTAGTCGAGCGCCGGCCCCGTGCGCTCGAAGGGGGATGTGTGTCGGAGGAGGGGAGCCACGATGTTAGCACCACCAGCAGTATAAGTCAGAGGCCTTTGGGATGCTTTGGGGATCTCTCGGGAGGCCCCTCGGGAACCTGCCGGATTCGCTTTTGGGGTGCCTTGGTGCCTCTCGGGGGTCTCTTGGGGGCCTCTTGGGGCCCGATCTGAGCCTCTTGGAGGCCTCCTGGAGCTCGTTGTGGGATTCTTGGGGGCCTGCTGGAATGCAACAAAGAGAGGACCCATGCAGCCACGACGCTGGAATTAGGACCACCTTGGGCTCAGGCTGGCCACCAGCTTTCGGGCCGTTCCCTGCAGCCAGGTTGGGGGAAACCCGCTCGTGCCTTGGCAACCAGATTCCAACGCGCGACCGTGAATGTCGAGAGTTGTGGATTGGATTGAAGGACGGGGTGATCTGAACGTCCTTCGCTCCGAGCCCAGCGCTCCCTATGTCAACACGATGGCCGTACTCTCAACCCAGGGAGGTCCGAGGGCCTGCGTACGCGCCGCCGCCCCGCCACCGCCGCCCCCGCCACTGCCCCGCCGCCGCCCCCACCGCAGCGTGGGGGGCCACCGGGGCGCGCCCGGCGCCCCCTCCGCGCAGGCCCTCGAGCAGCCGCGCGGGGCGCAGCCCGCCCCGGGGCCGGCGTGGCGGCGGTCGGCCCGCCCCCCCCCCCCCGACGACGACGACGACGACGACGACGAGGAAGACGACGACGAAAAGGACGACGACGACGGTGGCGACGGCGGTGAGGACGACGACGACGACGACGACGACGGCGTTGGCGACGACGACGACGACCAGGAGGAGGAGGAGGAGGAGGTGGAGGAGGAGGAGGAGGAGGAGGAGAAGGAGGAGGAGGAGGAGAAGGAGGAGGAGGAGGAGGCGGAGGAGGAGGAGGATGATGAGGAGGAGGCGGAGGAGGAGGAGGAGGAGGAAGAAGCGGAGGAAGAGGAGGAGGAGGAGGAGGAGGAGGAGGAGGGGGAGGAGGAGGAGGAGGAGGAGGAGGAGGAGGAGGAGGGAGGGATGAGGATGATGAGGAAGATGAGGAAAAGGAGGAGGATAATATGGAGGAGGAAGAGTCGATGATGAGGACGAGGAGGAAAATTGGGTACTGGGAGCAGGAGGAGGAGGAGGAGGAAGAGGAGGAGGGGAGGAGGAGGAGGAAGGAGGAGGAGGAGGAGGAGGAAAAGGAAGGGGAGGAGGAGGAGGAGGAGGAGGAGGAGGAGGAGGAGGAGGAGGAGGAGGAGGAAGAGGAGGAGGAGGAGGAGGAGGATATGGAAGTGGAGATGGAGGAGGAATATTATGTACTCGGTGCGGATATCCCCATGTCACGCCTCGCTGAGAAACTCTGTCTGTGAGTATCTGGGTGTGGGAGCGAGCCCACGTAGACGACAGTCGCGACAACGACGACGACGACTACAGCGACGTCCTCCTCCTCCTCCTCTTCCTCCTCCTCTGGACATAAGTGGGAGGCACAAGCGGACGAGGGAGGAGGAATTTCTTTTGCCGTTCACACTGCGGCAGCTCAGACAAACACGCTACTCCCCCTGCCTGCTGGCAATTGGGGTGTCCAAGTGCCACGCCGGCCATATCGCCGTAGCCTCCTGCGTGTGAGCCTTAGTGCGAGCGAGTCTGAGTGTGAGTGGTCTGAGTGTGAACGAGTCGGAATTCGAACGACTCCAGGTATGATTGAGCCTGAGTGCAAGTGAGTCCGAACATAGTAGATCTGAGTACGAGTGGGTCTGGGTGTATCTGGGTCTGGGTGTATCTGAATCAGAGTGAGAGCGCGTCTGAATGCGAATGGGTTTTAATGTGGGTGATTGTGGGTGTGGTTGAGTTTGAGTGTGAGTATGATGAGCACGAATCAGGATATGAGTGAGCCAGAGTACGAGGTAGTCCGAGCATGAGTGAGTCTGAGGGTGGGTGAGTCTGAAGGTGAGTGAGTCTGAGTGTGAGTTAGTCTGGGTGTGAGCAATGTAGAGTTTGAGTAAGTTTGAATATGCGTGAGTCTAAGTATGAGTGAGCCTGAGTATGAGTGGGACTGAATTTGGGTGAGTTTGAATGTAAGGAATGAGGTTGATTGTGGAAGAGGTGCTGATGAGCACGTCGGTGTGTGAGCAACTGTGTCTGCGTGAGGAAAAGAAAAACTGAGAGGAATATGCTGAGGAGGAGGAGATTGGTGGCCGAATGCGGAGCACACAAGTCCAAATATAAGTTTTTGAGACAGAAACAGGCAAACTGCTTGAGGCATCCCCGCACTCTGGGCGCGAATCCTGGGGTGCCCCCACCCCTGGCGTTCCCCCCTTCGGGTGCCCCAGTGCAGCGCCTGCTCCATCGGGATGAGCAGTGAGCCACCAAAGGAGAGAAGCTCTCGGGGGCAGAAACAGGCAAGCCGCCTGAGATATCTCCACAATCTGGGCGCGAACGGGCCCGTGAGATGCCTCGTGGCGGCTCCTCTTTGGGGTGCTCAAGTACCACGACTGCAGTATCGCGGTGACCAGTTGGCCACCACAAGAGTGCAAGAAGCCTGGGGGGGGCATGATGAGGCAATTGTGTTTCAGACATCCCCACAGTCTGGCCGCCAACGGGCCACTGACATACCCTCCCCTCTGGGGTGCCCGAGTGCCACGTCGGATGTACCGCAGTGAAAAGTAGCTGTTGCAAGCGAAAGGTCTGGGGGCAGACCCCGGCCAGCCGCTCGAGACAGCCCCGCAATTTGGGGGCGAACGGCGAGAGTCAGCCCTGGGAGCTCCCCATGGGGAGTGGTGGGCCCAGCATCTCGCCCGAGACATCCTCACATCTGCGCTTGCGCTGTTGCATGCCGAGACACTCAAACCGCCTGAGACGGAAGTCTGCCATATCTTGCTGAGCATTGGACCAAGTGAGTCTGATAACATGGGGGTCTGAGTATGAGTGCTTCTTATGGTGACTGGGTATGAGTGAGTCTGAATGGGCTCGGGTATGAGTGAGTGTCAGGGAGTCTGAGTATGAGTGGGTCTGCATTTGTGAGTTTTCGAGTGAGCTTGAATGAGTGAGCGAGTTTGAGTGTGAGTGATTTTGGTGGTGAGCATGGCGGAGTGCGAGTCTGAGTGTGTGTGTGTGTGTTCTTGAATGCGAATAAGGCTGAGTGTGTGTCTGAGTGTGAATGAGTCTGAGTACGAATGATACCGTGTATGGGTGAGTAGGGGTGAGGGAGGAGTGAGGTGAGTATGAGTTGGGTGTGCATGATCTGAGTATGAGGATCTGAGTGCTCTGATTGAGGAAGAGGCAGACTCGGAAAAGGACGAGCAAGGCCCAGAGGCGTCTGAGTTATAGCAAGAACGCAATTCTAGAGCATGGGGAATCTGAAGACGAATCGGCACGATGATGATGAGGAGGAGGAAAAGTGGGACGATGATGGTGATGATGATGATGATCATGATGATGATGATGATGATGATGATGATGATGACGATGACGATGACGATGCTGAGGAGGAGGAGGAGGAGGATGATATGATCAACTGTACACATAAGCCCCCACGTATTAACCAGATAACATAATGGACGAACCATCGTAACAAACATAATAAGGATAGCACTACTAAATGCTCGGAACGGTTTTCTCCTAACGCCGCCACGCGTGCCCATGCTGATCCACGGTGTGTTGGGAATGTCCACGCCAATTTTGGTTTTGTAGCGTAGTCGTGCTATATGTGGACCACGTTTGGTTTTCAGTGCGCGCAGTGCCATGGTCTCGGTTTTACACACCTACCACGACCTGTGTTGATTATCTGTACAGTGTCGACTAGAACGTGGCCAGAGCGAATTGCAATGATTGTCTTGTGCAGTATGCCTCTTCGAATCACCACCGCACCAGGGCCACACCAGGTAACTCGTGAGGACGTCTCAAGCCGAACCAGGCCCAAGCCAGACGAAATCAGAGCCAAACCAGGCAACTTGTAAGGACGTCTCAGGCGGAGTCGGGCCCGTACCAGGCCAAACCAGGGGCCAGACCACGCATACTGTGATGACGGCTCAGGCAGAATCGGGCCCAAACCAGTACAAACCAGGGGCCACACCAGGCAGATTTTGAGTATGTCCAAGGCGGAGGCAGATTTTGAGGACGTCCTGAGAAGAATCGCCCAAACCAGGCTCCAATCTCTCTCCATATACGAGTTTCCCTCGCAGGCGAAGCCCGTTTAGAACTTTAGGAGGGGGGGGGGGCGTTTTGACCTCGCTTCCGCTGATGCGGACGGGGTTTGGCGCAGAACCCTTCATTTGTGTTTCGGATGTTGTTTGGGCTTCCGTGTGGCGTTCGGAGAAATACCTCCAAGCCTGTAGTAATGCTACAAACATGTTTCTTTATTTCTTGTAGAAACAACCAAGACGAGAACCATACATCGAAAATCCGCATTGGTACTAGCAGAAGCACTACGAATAAGAAGAGGGGTCGCGAGGAGGATGAGGAGGATGATGATGAGGAGGAGGAGGCAGATGATGATGATGATGATGATGATGATGATGATGATGATGATGATGATGATGATGGTGATGATGACGATGATGATGATGATGATGATGATGATGAGGATGATGAGGATGATGAGGATGGCGATGATGCTGAGCCTGATGCTGATGCTGCTGATGGTGATGATGATGATAATGATGATGATGATGATGATGATGATGATGATGATGATGATGATGATGATGATGATGATGATGATGATGATGAGGAGGATGAGGATGAGGATGAGGATGAGGATGATGATGATGATGATGATGATAAAGGAGGAGGGAGGATGGTACGGAAAATGCGACGGGGCGGTTGGGAGCAGCCTGTCCAGGTGGTCCTCGAGCGCCGCTGGGCAGAGCTTCCAGCAACAGCTCTTGCAGCAGCAGCAGCAGCTCCGGCAGCACCCCTGGCAGGACTCACAGGACACTCATGCCTGTCCTGGTCCTCCTCCTCCTTGTCCTCCTCCTTGTACTCCTCCTTGTCCTCCTCCTTGTCCTCCTCCTTGTCCTCCTCCTTGTCCTCCTCCTTGTCCTCCTCCTCCTCCTCCTCCTCCCTCCTGCAGCTCGTATGCTCGTCCTCGCGCCCCGCGCTTGCGTCTTCGGATGCAGCCAGCAGCCGAACTCATTACTCACTACCTCTCCTGCCCCCTCCGGAGCCTCTCTGGTCCCCTGACCCTCCTCCAATTTCAACGACCATTGCATCCTGGGGCTTGGGCCCCGCCGCTGCGTACCCGTCTGCTGCCGATTCCGACCTTTGATTGCGTCGGACTGTGCAGCGCGTGACGCTGGCCTTCCATATTTTTAACAAAATGAAGAACACAGCTGCCCTGGCCGCTGACGCTATTGCATCGGTTTGCAGCGCAGCACGGGCTCTGCTCTGGCGATAGTTGCCTCTCTCTGCGCCGCATCTCTGTAGGCCTTGGGCACCGAACCAGTGAACCGGCAGTGAGTCGACTGCCCTCTTTGGCGTTCTCGGTTCGCTCCCAGATTACGGAGACTCCTCCTCCTCCTCCTCCTCCTCATCGAACGGTAGCTCCTTGTCCAGTGCCCTGTTTCTCACCTTTGCTGGCTCGCTGCGCAATCTTGGCTAAAGGCCTGATCAGTGCACCGTGCCCGCCTTAGACTTGCCTTAGACATTCCGCCTTACACCATCATGCGGTGTACTCCCTTCACGGGAAACGTCGGTCCCCGTCTTACATCTTCATTTTCAGTTGGTAGCGGAGCAGGTTCGCCCCTGCTCCCGCCACGGCCGCCATGTTTCGCTTCGCGTCGACTGCAATGGCTTCCACGTTCCGCCGCCCTCGACTTCGGTCGACCGCCTTCAACATTACACACTGGTCGTTTCTAAGTACTCGAAAGTTATTTTTGTTTTTGGGGGCCAAGATCCTTTCATTTCTAATTGTTCTATCCTGGGCCTCTTTCGGGCCACTAGGGGGCCAGGGACAATTAGAAACGAACACACTTACAGATGAGTGCTATTAGACATGAGCGACGTGTACGCCTTCGTGCACATCCTCCCCTTCACTCCGAAAAGCGGGGGGGTTATGCGAAGCGGGCCCGGAGCGGCGCGCGGGCTTTTACTTCGATCCTCCCCGGCGCACCCCCGCGCCTCCCGTCGTGCTTCTCCACGGCGTGCCGCATGGACCCACCGTGCTGCTCAGCGAGGTGCTGCTCACGTGTTGCCCAGCCGCCGTCGTCTATGTCCCCGATGCGAAACTGTTCTTAACCATCGTCAGCTTAGGTCCTACTGGGCAGGACCTTGGGCTGCACTAGCGGCTGCGACTGTGGGATATGGGTGAACCGCATCGTGCTGTTGGTACCCGATGCGCATGTCGCAGTGGCCGTCCGAGTCGTAACGAGGATGTTCCCGTCGTCTTGGTGAGGAGTTTGGAAGTCGGAGTGCTGACGTGGAAGTGGAGAGTCAAATGCTGGATGCTGGAGGTCGAAATGCTGAAATGGTGGACGGTGGAGGTTAGTAAGTTGGAGCGGAAATGGAAAGAGTCAGTCGCCGGGTGCTGTAGGACGGGATGTTGATTTAATGGAGGTTGGTGAACGACAGGTGTAGGTGGAAGTGGACAGTCGGATGTTGTATGCTGTAATGCAGAGTTGGTGCAGGCTGGAGGTCAATAGGTGGAAGTGGGAGATCATGCTGGCGTCGGTGCTGGCGTCAGCGCTTGCGTAGGCGCAGGCGATTCTCCTGGTGTCGGTGCTAGCGTCGAGGCCAGCGAAGGCGCCAGCGATGGTGCTAGCGCCAGTTCGCATACTCGACGTCTCCGTGACAGTTTGGTGTTCTTTGTGTGGAGGGGGGCGGGTATTGTTGCCCCGAGGTGGCCACCTAGCTGCGGCCCAATATCGGCCCGACCTGCGCAGCGTGATTCATTGCAGTGGCCTCCGGCCAGTGCCGCCGATCCGGGGTGCTCTTGATTTTATTGGGAACGGATGGTGACGACGACAACGAACGACCAACGATCGACGAGCGGGATGATTTCGACGACGACCAGCGAACGGGGTAACGACGAGGATTGACGACGACGATGGCGACGATGACGACGACGACGACGACGACGACGAACACGAACACCTACACGAACACGACGCCGCCGCCGCCGCCGACGACGACGACGACGACGACGTCGAGGACAACGAGGACCACGACTCGTGCCCGAGAAATACCACGTCATACCATGCACCTCTTGCCTGGCAGCACGCGAGTCAGCGCCTCTTGGGGCCTCTGGGCTCTTGGGGGCTACCGTGGGGCCTTCGGGGCCTTTCTTTGGCTTCTTGTTTTGTTTTTGACCTCTTGGAGATCTCTTGTGGGCCTAGAGGGGGCCTCTGGGGGTCGTCTTGGAGTGGAAGCCTGGAAGGGTTAGTTCGGGTTCGTTCTCTTAAAAGCCACTGGGGGGCCTCTCGGGGTCGTCTTGGGGGCTCGCTGGGCTATCTTGGGGCCGTCTTGGGCCGTCCTGGCTCCTCCTCGGGGTCTCTTGGGATGTCTTGCGACGATCTTGGGGGCCTCTTGGACCGCCATCGGCGCTGTGAAAACCGAAACACGATAATCTCAATATGTAACAACAACCAACCAGATTTTGACGATTTTGCCCTAGCCCTCACCCCTCTTCCACTCACCCCTCTTCTAGATCCGGAGAACTGGAGCACCCCCCCCAAGAGCTGGAGAACTGGCGCACCCCCCCCCTCCCCCCTCCTTAACCAGAGAACTGGCGCACCGCCCCCTTCTCCCCCCGGAACCGGCGAACTGGCGCACCCCCACCAACTCCCCACTCCCCTTCCCCGGCAGAGCCCCCCCGGCCCCCCCCCCAGCGGAGCTGAAACTCTTGCTCTAGGTTGAAACTTGAGCTTTCGCTTGAGCTCTCTGAAACTCACACGCCAGATCGGCGGATTTTTTCCGTGGGCTTACATCTGGCTCCAACACGGCGGAACCAACTAAAACCAAAGCGCGCGGTATCATGGTATCCGTCGTGCAACTCATGGAATCCGTCGTGCTGCTCGTGGAACTCCTGGTGCCCGTCGTGCTGCTCGTGGTTCGCGCTGGTCTGCAACTGGTGCCCGTCGTGCTGCTCGTGGAATTCGCCGTGTAACTGGTACCCGTCGTGCTGCTCATGGTACCCGCCTTGCTTCTCCTTGTGCCCGTCGTGTTGCGCATACGCCGTGCTGCACATAGTATCCCGCGTGCTGTACGAGGTACTTGTCGAAGTGCAGCTCATGGTATCCGTCGTGCTGCGCGTGGTACTCGTCGTGCAGCTCGAGGTATTCGTCGTGCTGCTCGTGGTACCTGTCGTGCTGCTCGTGGTACCTGTCGTGCTGCGGATGGCACCCGTCGTGCAACTCGTTGTGCCCGTCGTGCTGTACCTCGTATCGGTCGCAGTGGGCATGGTGTCCGTCGTGCTGCTCGTGGCCGTTCTCGTCGTGCAGCTCCAGGAATCGACTCTGTCAGTTGAGGCCGGCAGGCCTGTAGCTGTCCCGGCCGCGTGGCCAATGGACCGTGGGAGGGCGTCTGCCCTGGACGCGGCCGGAGTCGAAATTGTGCAAGAGTTTTCTTATGCACAGTTTTGTTGCACGTGAGGTACTTCGTTCAGCTTTTCTGGTCGTGCCAATTCGGCCTCCCCACGGCCGCGGTCAGTCGACCCCGGGCCCCCCTGCGCGGGCTTGGCTTTCTACCGCCCCAGGGATGTCGGGCTGCATCAGGCGCTGCTGTGCCTCCTGTCGCCAACTAGCCGCTATTTCAGCACATATCTGTCTGTACTGAACAGCAGGCATGGGGCCCGGCGCCTTTTGCGGCCGCCGGCGGCCGACCCCAGCCGCTGCGCTGGGCTCGCCTGCCTGCCGGCCACGGTGGGCCCGTGCGTGGCGCTGAAGGCGCCACGCAGCGACGTCAGAGGTAGACCCTGCTTGCCCTGGCTCTCCTAGCCGTGTGCTGTTGTTGTTCTCGTCTGCCGTTCGTCCCTGCCGTCTCCCCTCTCCTTCCCCTCTGCTGTGTCTTTGGTTTGGCCTGCTCCTGCCCGCGAGGGTCTCTGGTGCGGGTGCCACCCGCAGTGCCTGGTCGGTGCACGCACGCGCGGGTTCGCCGGTGCTGGTCTTTCAAGGGGGCGCATCGTGCAGTGAAATAGAAATGTCTAGGGGCTCATGAGGAGGGGACCCAGGAGCTGGGAGGGTGCGTTGCAGAATTGCTGATGCATCTTTAGATCACTCTTGTCCTCCTCCTCTCTCCTCTTTCCTCCCTGCAATGTCTTGCTCCCCGCCAGGGTGCACTGTGACTTTTGCTATCAGCTAGGGTACAGTTCTGCGAATTGCAGCGATGGCTTCAGCGTCGACCTGCCTTGGAGTGGCGGGTGGTGGGCTCCCTCAAGGAGGGACGCGGCCCGCGACCTTTGCTTCCCTGGCAGGCCCAGGACTTACCACAGACAGCATCGGCCCTTGGCGAAAGCCCCTCGAGGCTGTGCCCGACCGACCATTCCCTGCGCGGTGTTTGTCGTCGTCGTCGTCGTCGACCCCGCGCGAGCGCGGCAAGCCTTCATCGCGTCCAGCAACAGCGAAATCAAGCAGGGCGATTCCGCGCGAGGTCCCGCCCCCTCAGTAGGCGGGACACTTGAAGGGGATGTCCGCATCGCCCTCGTTGCGACCAGCCGAATGAAGGATACCGCAGGCGTTTGTCCTTTGGAACAGGTGAAGACTTGCCGCCCCGACGCCTCGAGCAAAAGCTCTCGCATCCCAAGGGCTCCCAGGTCGAGGATCGAGGATAGAGGATCGAGCATCGACGACCGACCCCCCGTTAACAAAGGAACAGCACCCCTGGCAGCAGGCGCCGCACGCCCACGGCGGCCAGCAGGGCGCCCAGCAGTGGCCGCATGCGGCGCCGGGGGCGCTGGCCAACGGCAGGCGCCGACCCGTCGACCTCGAAGGTCTCGGTTCGTCCGAGGATCGGAGGTCCTCCTCGTCATCCTCCTCCATGTCGTCGTCGTCGTCGTCCTCCTCCTCCTCCTCCTCCTCCTCCTCCTCCTCCTCCTCCTCCTCCATCTCCACCCCTCCTCCTCCTCCTCCTCCTCCTTCTCCACCTCCTCCTCCTCCTTCCGTCGCCGCCCCCTTCTCGTCCTTCCTCTTCCTTCCCCCGCCACCTCGTCATTCGTCATCGTCGTCGTCGTCGTCCTCCTCCTCCTCCTCCTCCTTCTCCTCCTCCTCCTCCTCCTCCTCCTCCTCCTCCTTCTCCGTCGCCATTTTCGCTCAAGCCGCGTCCGTTCAGGGTGGTCTGCGCGTCCCGCTTGGCCTGGAGTTCCCCCGGACCCGCTCCGCGGGCCCCCTTGCTCCCGCCCCGCCGCGGCCCGCCGCGCCCTCGTCTCTCTTCGGTCCTCGCTCCAGCCATGGCTGGGTGGTCTCGCAGCCAGCGCTGCCCGCGCATGTGATCCCCGATGGGGAAATTTCAATGCATGTACATCTTCAGTGATCTCAGCGTGACCGCGCCTCAGATGTCGAGCCTCAACGATCTCGTTCGCCAGGGAGTCACCACGCACGCGGCGGAGTTTGAATTGTCCAGGAGCCAGATGTCGACCCCCGGTTCGAACGTAGGTCGCATGCAGGATGAGTTTCCGAAGATGCAGTTCGTCAGGAGGAGCGATTCGCTGAGATAAAGCGCGCCCAGGGCCAGGCTATCCACCAGGTAGTGATCGACGCAGATGCTGAGCTCACGGCCATGTCTGAGGGAAGAGTATCAAGTCCCACGTGAGTGACATTAGGGCGGTGTTATCGTCGAGCGCGTCGGCTCGTGCCGGCTCGGACATCGAGATAGTTGGAGGAGGAGGAGGAGAGGATGCGGGTCTTCGGAAGATCCAGTAGACGCCAGGAACAGGCCGAGCATGCGCTACTCGTCCCATCGTGCTCGGATTTGAGAAGCCACTCCTCGAGCATGCGGTCTTCCCGTCGTTTCGCAGTGCAGTCCTTGGGAGGAGGAACCGACCGTGCGAGCGCACTCACTGACCAGGACGGTGATCCTTGACTGCCCGTCCACTTTCGCATGGTCAGCGTTCTTCGGGACGAGCCAGGGCATCGGGGAGACTGCGCCAGAAACCCAATGATGGCCTCGGTTGGGAGCTCTGGGTTCGTCGTGATCCGCCCCCGCCAGTAGGAAGCTCTTCTACCCCCCCGGACAGGCCAGGACTCTCATCGGCAAAGTCCTTGGGAGAGTTCACGGCCGGGAACAACTGTCCTGGTGGGCAGATCCATGCTTTCTCGCAGTGCGCCCAGTTGAGGTGGCGAAGATCGCGATTTGTGAGTGGTGTGCCTGGTCTCCTGCTTGCCCCGAAAGGCATGACTAGCTTTGGCAAGGATGCCCGTGCGGGCTGCGCCCAGCCGCTTTTGGAGCACATTCGTCGCTTTGCGTGACAGGCCCGGCTGTCCTGGTGCATCTTGCCTTGGAGCCTCGGGCGCCCCACCTGGTCAGTTTTTGCGCTGTCCTCGGGTTCGTGGCCTTCCGTCGGGTGGAGGGCCGTCTGGGGCGGGGCCCAGGATTTGCGTGCCCCTAGGCTTCGCCAGGGGGGCTGTTTTCCCCACGCGCCGGGCCACGGTGACGGGAGTCGGCCACCCCGTTGCCTGCCTGGCGCGCCGTGCTGCGCGCATCCCTGGCGCTCCTCGGGAGGCGCGCCGTGCTGCGCGCCGCAGCCCCGCCGCCTCTTCGGGCTGCGCTCCGCGTCAGCCTCGCAGTCGCGTCCCGTGTCGTCACTGAGCAGGATATGGCGTGCTGCGGCCAGGAGGGCCTGCGCTTCCAGGGGCAGTGCCCCCGCGACCCCTCTCTTGACGCCAGGCGCAGCCCCAGCTCCAGCGCGCCTTGGGTTGCACCCTGGGCGCCCACACGAACTCATCGTCTACACTGTGTCGCTTCCTCCCCCTCTCCGTTGCTGCCCCCCCCGTTCCTCCTCCCCCTCCCTCCCTCCCTCCCTCCCTCCCCCCCTGCCCCCAGTCCCCTTCTCTGCCCCCCCGCCCTTTTCTTGGCCACCCTCCCTAATTAGCTCCTCCTCCTCCTCCTCCTCCTTATCCTTTTCCTTTTCCTCCACCTCCTCCTCCTCCTCCTCCTCCTCCTCCTTCTCCATCCCTCCTCTTTCTTCCCTCCTGCTCTCCCTCCGTGGCTCCCCCCCTCTCCCCTCCTCTCCCCTCCTTGCCTCGTCCCCCCTCCTTCCCCCCCCCTCCCCGGCGGCGCGGACGATGACGACGACGATGACGACGACGATGACGACGCCTGCCCCTCCAGGCACGACTGGCGGCAGCTCGCCAGGGGCTCCGCTGGAGGCCTCCCTCTTCCGACCGGCCCCAGGAGGGAGCAGGGGTCAGGGGCCGCGACAGGGGCGAGGCATTCCAGAAAGCGCCTCGCCTTCGAGGATCGAACGGGATCCAAGGAGGTGCCACCCCTGCATCGGCAGGAGGTGGCAGAAGGCCGGCGACAGGCGGCGGACGGAATGAACACGGGAGCGGCTCCGCTGGCGGAAGTAAGGGTCGGCCTCCCGAGAGGGGTGGACAATTTTGGGTGCAGGCCTTCCAGAACCGACCGGGGGGTGGACTGGCTCACCTGTCGGGAGGGAAAGGAACACACAGACACAATGAATCGTCGATCCCCGAGGAAATATGGGAAACTATGGGAACTGGGGGGGAAGACAAGAACCCAGAAAAGATGGGAAAATATGGGGAATGTTCTTATTTGTGTGTATTTATTTGTGTGTCCTGGGGCCCCTCCATTCTGGGATGCCCAGGAGGGGGACGAGGAATCGGAAGGGGTGCGGACCTCGTGGCCTCGGCCGCGAGTCGGCGGCGAAGTCCGACCCCTGCCATCGCCGATCCACGATTCAGGCAATTCGACCGGTGGCGGGGTCAGGCTTCGGAAGATTCGTCGAACGCGTGGCGTACGTTCAGGGGTGGCTCTGGGGAACGGGGATGGAAAAAAAAACAAAGAAAAAAAAAAAAAACATCCGGCCCCTGCCCCCGCCTCCCATCGATTCAGGATAATCGATGGTTGGTGGGGGTAGGGTTGGATGTCGCCACCTAGCGAAGGTCGCTTCAAAAAGGGCACCCTGACGTCCTTCGTGTTTGTTGGATGTTCTGGTGCATCCTTGGGGAGGTACCCTCGAATGTTCTTCCGTTTGGCCGGCGGAGGCTCTCATGGTCTTGAAGGATGCCTTTCTGTCTTAGGTCTGGCCGTATTTCAGGCTTACTGGCCCCAGTTTTCTTCTTGCAGTGCGTTTCCTCGGGCGGGGCTAGGGCGAGGATAAATGCGTTCCAGAGCGTTCCAGAACGCTCAAAGCGCTCTGGAACTCTCTGAGAAGGCCGCGGCGCCCGAGACATCCTCCAGAACCGCCGGATCTTAGAGATTCTCGATTCTCCTCGCCTGATTTTATCCTCGTCCTGGCTTCGTCTTTCTTATCATCATCATTATCGTCATCGATTCCTTTTTGCTGCAGACGCCCTTCGCCCAACTAGGTGTGTTGAAACCGCTTCCGTGCCTCACTTGTCTTTTCTGCTTGCCCTTATCATTTTCCCTAATCCTCCCGATCCCTCCCCCCAGTCCGCCTTCCAATCGTCCTCCTCGCCACATCGTGCAGTCCTCGCCTCTCACGCCTCCTCCTCCTCCTCCTCCTCCTCCCTCCTCCTCGTCCTCCTCCTCCTCCTCCTCCTTCTCCATCTCCCTCCGCCTCCTCCTCCTTCTCCTCCTCCTCCTCCTCCTTCTCTACCTCCCTCATGATCCTCGTGCTCATCCTGTACCTTCAAGCCAGCGGCGCTCTGCTACGGCAGCATCAGGGTCGTCGCAGAGGAGGGGGGCCACCCAGCCTTCTTTTTGACTTTCTTCCGCGCTGTGCTCGCCCTCCTTGCCTTCAAGCCGGTGGGCTCCCTTCAAAATCAGGGCCGTCGGGGAGGAGGAGGGCCAGCCCTCTCTCTATATCTCTCTCTCTCTTCTCGCCTCCCTTCCGGCTCGTGCTCGCCCTCCTCTTCCCCACCAGCTCTCACAGCGTTCTGCCCCCCCCGATCCAGCGGAGGCGGCATCGACGAGGTTGCGGAAGCGGACGCGGCGTGGGAGCGCCTGTTGGAGTGGGAGGTCATCGACATGTGCTCCAGGTGGTCGTTCGACGAGGCGCCCCACGCCCCCTCCCCTGCTGTCGATGCGAGCTTGACCGTGCAGCGGGCATATTGGACCTGAAGGTAGTCTTCCTTCGAAGAGGAAGCCAGCCGTATGGGGCTTTTCTGGAGGGGCATTGCCTCCGGAGATCGAAGGAGCTGGCATCTCTTCGTCGTGGGAAGGCAGCGGAAGGCTGTCGGAAGCTGGTGGAAGTGAAAGGAGGCAGCCTCCGCTGGCGGACGCGCCCCCCAAGAGATGCACTTTTTGGTGGACTTGGGGTTTTCGGAACAGATCCTCCCAATGCGGCAGGGACTCACAGAAGTCCTTACGACCCCTGGGGAAGTCAACGGCGGACGACGAATGTTAACGGCCGCCCGGCGCTCGTCCCGCTTCCTCCATCTCGTGCCCCGGTAGCTGCGCGGGGGCCCCACCGTGCTCGATGCGCCTGCAGTTGCCGTGAAGCGAGCTTCACCAGGGATGGGCGAGAGGCCGGCGTGCTTCGCGGCGAGGCGAGAGGCCAGCGACGACGGTGCCCCCCCCCCCATGCTTCTTGCAGCCGAGGCCCTGAGGTACGGACCCCTCTTCTTGGATCCCGGATGGGCTCCGGCTTTCGGGCCGTTCCCCGGGCCTGGGTCGGGGGACCCGCCTGTGGCCGGAGCGTGGCCGAGGCCAGCAGCGCCCCCCTCCGCTCCCAGACCTGGCGGCCCCCGCGGCGCGCAGTGGCCGCACAGCACCGGCCCGCCGAGGCGGGGGCGCCTGGCCGGAGGGGGCCGGATCCAGGCGGTCTCGGGGGCTTCCTCCTCGTCGTCGTCCTCCTCCTCCTCCTCCTCCTCCTCCTCCTCCTCCTCCTCCTCCTCCTCCCTCCTCCCTCCTCCCTCCTCCTCCTCCTCCTCCTCCTCCTCCTCCTCCTCCTCCTCCTCCTCCTCCTCCTCCTCCTCCTCCTCTCCTTCTCCTCCTTCTCCTCCTCGGGAGCCTTGAGACGGGGGTCGGTGCAAACGGGGGTCAGCCAGAGCGCCAGATCTTGCAGGATCCTGCAGGGCCCGGGGTGCACTGACCCGGGCAAGCGTGCAGGATCCTGCAGGATACTGGAAAGCCCAGCTGACCTGGGTTTGGACTTACCCGGGTCCGTAGAGCCCCGACGGTCGGTATTTTGTCCATGCCCCTTGCTCACGCCCCTACTTCACGAATTACCCGCCTGAGACATCTCCCTCGCCCTGTGAATGGCATCTGCTGGTCTCGGTGCCGATCTTAATGATTCCCGCAAGTTCTCAGGATGCATCTTCAAGATCGTCATCGCCTTGGACTCGTCGATGTTGGGGATGACCCAGATGTTGTTGCATAAGCTCGTGGATGGATCAGCTTGCCTTGTCCTTACGATTATCATCGCCTTGGGCTTGTTGGATAAGCTCGAGGCTGGTTAACGAGGGCGGCGGCCTGGATCAGATTTTAGCCTCCAGGGCCACGTCTTTTTGTCCCTGCCCTGCCTGCCTGGGCGCCCAGGGCGGCGGGCAGCAGCAGCCCCAGATGGGCTCCGAGCAGATGGGATCGGAGGTTCGCGCCGCATCGCCGATGCATCGCCGATGCATCGGCGATGCGGCGCGAACCTCCGACCCCATCTGCTCGGACCCCTGTCTAGGAGGCCTCTACGCAGGGGCATGGACCGAGCGCCGAGCTGAGGCCCGCTCGAGGATCGCTCGGCCTCGGCCTCGGCCTCGCAGTCGGTGCCCTGCGTGCCCGCGAGCGTTGGCCCCGTGCCTCTGGGACCTCGAGGCTAGACGGACCGCTGCCCTCGGTCTGGTCCTGGGTCGTTGCGCAATGGGGGGGCGATAAACGGTGGGCTGGAAATAGGGGCCTCCTCCCTCCTCCTCCCTCCACCTCCTCCTCCTCATCCTTCTCCTCCTCCCTCCTCCTCCTCCTCCTCCTCCTCCTCCCTCCCTCCCTCCCGCCCTCCCTTCTCCATCCTCCTCCTCCTCCATTCTGCTCCCCCTCCTCCTCCTCCTCCTCCTCCTCCTCCTCCTCCTCCTCCTCCTCCTCCTCCTCCTCCTCCTGCTCCTCCCCCTCCAGCAGGAACAAGTGGCACGCTTGCCATGGCTCTTGCACAGAAAAAATGGAGGATGCGGAGGGGGCGCGCTGGCTGGTGGATGGGGCGATGGAGGGGGCACTCGGGATGCAGGGGCGGGGCCGTGCCGGAATAAAAAGGGTCGGGCCGGAGGGGGCGCCTTGGCTGGTGGATGGGAGGATACGGATGGGGCGCTCGGGATGGGAGAGACAGTGCCGTGCCGAAATAAAGGGATCAGGGCGGAAGGGGCGGCGCCGCGACGAAACAAAGGGGTCGGGGCGGAGGGGGCGCGCTGGCTGGTGGGTGGGGATGCGGAAGAGGCGCGCGGGATGTGGGGGGGCGGTGTCGCGCCGAAATACAGGGGCCGGGGCAGAGAGGGCACTCTGGCTGGCGGGTGGGGGGATGCAGAGGGGGCGCGCGTGATGGGAGGGGGGCAGTGCCGTGCCGATATTAAAAAAGACGGGGCGGGGGGGCGCGCTGGCTGGTGGGTGGGGTGATGTGGAGGGGCGCGCGGGATGGGGGGGGGCGGTGCCGTGCCGAAATGAAAGCGGTCGGGGCGGAGGGGGGCGGTGCCGTGTCGCGATAATGGGGTCGGGGCAGAGGGGGCGCGCTGGCTGGCGGATGGGGGGATGCGGAGGGGGCGCGGGCCAGAGGGGGTGTGCTGGCTGGTAGGTGGGAGGATGCGGAGGGTCTATAGTAAGGGAAGCGCGCGTTGGCTGATGTGTGGGAGGGCACGGAAGATGCGCGCGGGATGCGGCGGGCGGTGCCGTGCCGAAATGAAGGAGTCGGGGCGGGGGGTGCGCTCTGGCTGGCGGGCGGGGAGATGCGGCCGGGGCGTGCGGGGTGCGGGGGGTTGGCGGTGCCGTGCCGAAATAACAGGGTCGGGCCGAGTGGGCGCGCTGGCTGGTGGACGGGGCGATGGAGGTGGCGCTCGGGATGGGGGAGGTGGTGCCGTGCAGAAAGAAAGTGGTTGGGGCGGAGGGGGCGCGATGGCTGGCGGATGGGGGGATGCGGAGGGGGCGCGGACCGGAGGGGGCGCGCTGGCTGGTAGGTGGGAGGATGCGGAGGGTCTATGGTGCGGGAAGCGCGCGCTGGCTGGTGGGTGGGGAATGCGGAAGAGGCGCGCGGGATGCGGGGGGGCGGTGCCGTGCCGAAATAAAGGAGTCGGGGCGGGGGGTGCGCTCTGGCTGGCGGGCGGGGAGATGCGGCCGGGGCGTGCGGGGTGGGGGGGGGGCGGTGCCGTGCCGAAAGAAAAGGGTCGCGGCGGAGTGGGCGCGCTGGCTGGTGGATGGGGCCATGGAGGTGGCGTTCGGGATGGGGGAGGCGGTGCCGTGCCGAAATCAATGGGGTCGGGGCGGAGGGGGCGCGATGGCTGGCGGGCGGGGTGATACAGAGGGGTCTTTCTGGATGGAAGGGGCGGTGCCGTGCCGAGGGGTCGGGGCGGAGGGGGCGCGCTGGCTGGGGTGTGGGGCGATGCGGAGGGGGCGTTCGGGATGGGGGGGTGCCGCGCCGAAGTAAAAGGGTCGGGGCGGAGGAAGCGCGCTGGTTGGTGGCCGTGGTGATGCGGAGGTGGGGCGCGGGATAGGGGGGGGCGCTGCCGTGCCGAAATATAGTGGTCGGAGCTCTGGACATCCTGTGTAAGAGAATAAAGGGAGGGGACAGAGGCGGGCCAGCACGCAGCAGCAGGTGGCGAGGCAGTGCTGACCTGCAGCCGCACAGAACCGACAAGGGGGAGGAGAAGGAGGCGGGATGAGAGAGCAGGAAGGAACCGGGAGGCGGAGGAGACTGGCGCGTGGCGGGGAGGTGTGCGCCAGCAAAGCCCCTCCCCCTTGGGCGCGCGCACACCCCGCCGGAGGCACGGAACGGGAAAGGAGGGCGGGAGCAGGGGGAGGAGAGGGGGAAAACTAGCCAGGTGCACAGGTTGGCGTGGAGAAAGGAATGGCAGGCACGAGGCAAGCGCAAGGAGGCGCCACAGGCAGGCGAGGGCGGCCGGCACGTCAGGGAAGGAGGAGAAACAGGGGGGAAAAGCGGAGACGGGGGGCGGTGGTGGGCGTCGAAGTTTGGGGGGTCGGCGTTCGTCGTCGTCGCGGGCCCGTTGCGCGTCTGTCAGCATGGTGTCTGCTGCGTTGGTGCTGTCGCAGTGGTGCTGTCTGATGCGTTGGCGCTGCTGGTGCTGACTGCTGCGCCGCAGTGGAGCTGTCTCCTGCGTTGGTGCTGCGGCGCCGGCGACCCCTCGCTCCGGGTGTCGGCTAGGCCTCACGTGCCAATGGCCGCCGGCAGCGCTTCGGCGTTGCCCGCCTGCAGCAGGCAGCTGAGCTGCTGCCTCGCATACCGCAGCACCTCGGTGCGGCCGGCCCCCTCCAGGTCGTGGGCCCGGGGGCGCACGTAGGGGACCGCCGCGTCACCGGGGCGGCCGCCTGCTTCGAAGACGACGGGGACGAGCTCGCCCCCTCGAGGTGGGTACCTCTGGCGTTTGTCGTCTTCACGGACCCGGGCGAGGAGGCCATCCCGACCCGGGCGAGCTCGCTGGCACGACTGGTCGTCGTCGTGAGCGCAGGCGATGCTCGTATCGAGATAGATCACGTTGCCCCTGGCCGCGTCGCGCGTCCCCGTTCTCGGGTGGATGCGGTTCCAGGCCAGGACCAGATGCTCCGTGGTCGCTGCATAGCCTGTGATCTTCTGGTGGTGCGCTGCGCAGAAGTCCCGCACGGCGTCGTGCTTCCCTGTCTGGAAGAGGCCGCAGGGGCACTTCGAGGCATGCCTCCCTCGCCAGTCCAGCGGCGCTCCGCAGACGGTGCCGTCCTGTTTGCAGAGCCAGCGCTGCGCTCCAGGGGCACAGTGGTCGCAGCGCAGGCGGCCCGCCAACGCTATCTTGAAGTGCCCGTTGGGGACCTTCGCGGGCGTCTCCCTTTCTCGGGCAACGGGGATTTCGAGCCCCCCCCCCTGCTACGGGCCCTCCCGCAGAGCGTAAGTCGACGCGGTCTTCCTTCCCAAGCGTCCGTAGGACTTCGTCGCGCGCCCGGCCCCGCAGCAGCCCAGTCCAGTACCCCTGCGGCCCGGTGGGCGGTTCGTCCAAGCAGCTGGACCAGCACACTGCGTCCATCGCGCCGTTGTCCTGCGCTCGCAGCTTCGCCCCCGCACGCCCGATGGCGGTCGGCCACCGCCGGGCACTGGGTCGTACAACCCCGTGCGAAAAGCAACTGGGGTTTGGTGAGCCCCCCGGCCCCCGAATTTCAATGTTCATCGTGCGACCAGCGAAGTTCGAAAAAAAATCGACCCCGCGTTGAACATTGAAATTGGGGGGTGGGGGGGGGGGAGGTGTGTACGAAAACCCCAGTTGCTTTTCGCACGGGGTTGTAGAAGCTCTGCCATGAGGCCACGTTCCAGCATGTCCGCACACTTTGCAAGGTCACGGTCCAGCTGCCCAAGTGAGCTGCCGCGCCCGTCTCCGCTGCGGAGGTCAGCCCCAGTATCCTCCGTGCGCGAGTCGGAGAGAGAGCGCTGCGCTCGTTGGTCTGGCCGCAGCGTGCGCCCAAGTAAGTCTTCCACCCCTCCGACAGCGGCCGCGTCCATTCTGGTTGTCCAGCCGCCGTCCTCGTAGTTGGCCCTCAAGGTGGGTGACGCCCCCGTTGCAATAGGTTTGCAGCAGGAGGATGCTTTCGCGCGTGCCCAGGCCGGCCGAGCGAAGTTCACGGAGCCTCGGCACCAAGCGTGCAGCGAGCGGCCTGCGCCGCCTCGTTGCCGTCAGCCTGGCCGTGCACAGCGGGGCGCGAAAGGGGGCCCTCGCAGTCTACCCAGAGAGCTGCGGCAGCCAAGCAACGTAGAGTGAGTTTTCTGAAGGGGGCGAGTCGCGGCGGCAGCCGCGCTGTGGGATCCGCTGTCCAGGCCACTGTCTTGCCCTCACTCAGGGTGAGGCCGGCCGCAGCGAGGCCCTCCTTCACAGCGTCGAGCCCGTGCTCGGCGACCGAGGCGGGCAGGACGACCATCGCGTCTTCGAGGCAAGAGATCACGCGGGCTGCCGGTGCCAGCAGACGCAGCCGGGCGTCGATGGTCACCGGCGGCCCCGCCAGGGCTGAGGCGAAGCAGCCCGGGGGAGAGCGGCATCCTTGGTCCACCCCGCACACACCTGCTGATAGCAAGCCACCCTAACTCTGGAGTGGTGCTAGAAGAAGGTCCAAACCGAGGTCCACCTCGATGACCCTGCGTGAAAATGGAGCTATCGGGGGGCCGCCCCGTTCTCCATGCGTAAGCGGGTCCTCGACAAAGCGTTGGTCCACCCCGCACGTGTCTTTCACCTCCCGCGCCGTGGTGCCCTCGCCCCACCAGAGGGGCGTCGTGGGGTGGCAGAGCCAGCTCGCGGCCAGGCCCAGCCTCCCAGGGGCGCAGGGCGGCGTCACCTCGGAGAACCTTCTCTCTCGGAGCTGCGTTGAAGGCGTTGATCGCGTCGAGCGCCAAGACAGCGTCGCCCGGCTCCGCCGCTGCGAGAGCTGCGAGAGCCTTCTGAGCTTTTTCGCGGCCCGCTTTCCGCCCCACCGCGAACTGTGCAGGGCCCGCAGCCATCTCGCGGCTCGTCCCGAAGCACGGAGCAGGCCGCCCGCGCAGCAATCCGTCGCCGCACGCCACGGGGCGTACCTTGCCCCTGGGCTTCCGCAAAGCGATCAGGCGCGCCCCGAAGTTCGCTCTCAGGAAATCGTCCGGGCACTCTCCCTGGAGGAACCTGGCCGCCAGCTCTGCCGCCTGGTCGGCCGCCTGGCTGTCCGCCGTGGTCGTCGCCCAGTGTTCGAATCGGCTGCCGTTGGGGCCAGGCCCAGACCGCTGCGGGTAATTAGCGACCGAGCTGCTGGCGCGCTCCTCCTCCTCCTCCTCCTCCTCCTTCTCCTCCTCCTCCTCCTCCTCCTCCTCCTCCTCCTCCTCTTCTCTCCTCCTCCTCCTCCTCCTCCTCCTCCTCCTCCTCCTCCTCCTCCACCTCCTCCTCCTCCTCCTCCTCCTCCTCCTCTCCACCTTGGACCCCTGGCATCCCCCGCCCTCCCCTGCGAGCGACGCGGGCGGCGGCCGCTGGGCTCGGCGCCCGTCCCCCGCGGTGCGCGCGGGGGCCGCCAAAGGCGCTGGGCGCGCCTGGCTGGGCGTGGGCGCGGGGGATGGCGGGGGGCGGTGGCGGGCTCGGCGCGACCCGAGAGCCGTCCGTCTCGAACGCCGCGACGCGGCGCGTTGTCGGGGGGGTCCTCATAGGGGTCCCAAAGGGGCACGAGGAGGGGCTCGTCTCTTCGCCACCTCGCTCAACGCCGCCCCCCATCAAGCAACGCCTGGGGGTGCCAGGTTCTCGGCCCCCCTCGGCGGCGGGCTCTGCGCATGCCGGTGCGCGCCCCGTGCGGGGCCCGGCGGGGTGGGCGCGGAGGCCTGCGGGTCCGCACAGCACTGCCCAGAGCTTGCGCCCAAATGCCTAGCCGTTCGGAAGTCCCGCAAAGGTGTGGGGGGGATTGGTGTCGCCATGACCCCCGCTCCGACCACGGAGTACAATCAAGAACCCTTTCCCCGCCTGGCGAAGTCAACGTTTTCTGTGCCGCATGGTAGAACTCCGCACTCTGGGGGTGGAGATTCCTTAGGATTCCTTTAGATTCTTTTTTTGGTTCGCGTCGTTTTCCGCAGGGCTCGTTTTGATTTCTCATGGTTGTACGAGTTCATCTGGATTCTTGTGGCCCCTCTTTTCCTTGCTGTCGTTTCCTGATGGCGTCTCTGCTGTTCCTTGGCGTTGACCCCGCGCGCCAACAAGTTCTTCTCGGAGATGCCTTACGGCTGGTTCCGCCGACCCTGAAGGTGGATCTGGAGGAAGGCCCAAGGCAAGAGAGGTCGCGGACTCGTAGGATCCTCCCAGAAACCCTCCCAGGACCCCCCCCCGCAGGGTGGGGAAGAGATCGAGGGGACAGGACCTTTTTTCGATTCGATTACGATCTCGATGGCGACATGGCTCGATTCACCTCGTGTTGACGAGCGAGCCAAAGAGGCTTCCCAGGAGGGCTTCCAGGGATGGAAGAGCGAATCGAATGACAGCGAAAGATCGCTTCCCGGGGCCACTCCAGGACGGCAACGGGAATCTGAGACTTTGCGCCCCGCGGGTCTTGTAGCCTCTTCGGTGGCACAACGTTGCACTTCGGCTCAGCGATGCTCCTTACCTTCTCTGGTTGTCGCCTCCTGGATACAAGGCGAGTCCTCTCCCGCCGCCACTTGGGGCTGGTGTACATGACGCGCCGTTGACGGCACCACCAACCACAGCATGTTGCTTCTTCGGGTACTTCGCCTTCGGGTTCCTGTCCAAGGCGTTTTTTTGCAAGCACATCGTTTTCGGCACCGCCTGATTCTGGGCCTTTGCCCCCTCCTGGCCTTGACGTGAGGCCCCTCCTTCTGCCCCCCCCCCCCCCTCTTTGTTGATTAAAGCTGTGCGCGGCCCGCTGAGCTTCGACCCGAAGAGGTGCGCTCTCGACCCGCGAATCAAAGAATCTTGTAGCCTCTTGGCCCCCCGCCCTCTCCCGATCCTCGGCGCCCAGGCGGTTCTCTTCACCCGAGCGGCACCGCCTCGGCCTGCGCGCTCTCCGGGGGCCGCCCCGCTTCGGGCCCCCTCCGAGCGCGCCGGCCGCGGCCTCCGCACTGGAACATCTCGGTTGCGTTGGGGCGGGAGAATTTCCAGGAATGGAACCGCGAGCCGAAGGAAAGCGAGAGATTTTCCTCCCAGGGCCATTCCAGGACGTCGATTTCTCGGGATCGCCACCTGGAGGAAGCGCAGAAATGGCGTGGGTCGTTTTCCTCCTCCTCCTCCTCCTTTGTTGCCTCTTCCTCGTGGTCCTGCTCTTCCTTATCTTTGTGTCTCTTGCGTGCCAGCGGTGGAGATGTTCAAGGATCCCAGCCAAATATACATATGTAGATATTAGTTTTTTTTTTTTGTTTTTTCCACTCATATATATATACACATATATTTATATACTTATATGCACATTTGTATATTCGCATATGTACAACTACCCCCTAAGCAGAGCTTGCCTCTGTCGGGGTCCCAGCGGATTCATTTGGTTGGGTGAGGTTTGCCACAGATTTTCGCGGCCCGCCCAGGTGCCTGGGTGCCCGGGTGCCCGGGTGCCTTATAGCCTCATAGCCCTATAGCCCTATAGCTATATAGCCCCATAGCTCTATAGCCCCATAGGCCTGTAGCCCTAAAGCCCTATTGCCCTATAGCCCTATAGACCTATTGCACTATGGCCCTATAGCCCTATAGCCCGATAGCCCTATCGCCCCATTTCCCCAGGGCGCTATATCCCAATAGCCCCATAACCCTATAACCTTGAACAGCTAGGATGTTTTCTATCGTATCATTCATATTTATATGTGTATAGAGAGTGTGTATGAGAGAAAGAGAGAGATTCATGAATAGAGAGAGAGAGAGAGAGAGAAAGCGAGAGACACGGAGGAAACAAGGAGAGGGAGAGAGAGAGAGAGAGAGAAGCACAGACAATTGGGCAGACCCCATCAGGGGAAACTCTCCCTTCTCCTCCCTCTCCTCCCCCGTCCTCTTACCCGTGCGTGTCCCTTCTTTCGCTCTTTCGCGCCCTTCATCTTCTCACTCCTCCCCGCCTTCTGTTTCCTCGCTTCTCTCCTGCGTGCCCCTCCCCGTCTCCTCCACTCCTCCCTCGGGTAAGCCCCCGTCGTCTTGCTCCCCCCAGCCTCTGCACTCCTCGCCCTCCGTCTTTTCCACTCCTCCCTCGGGTAAGCCCCCGCCGTCTTGCTCCCCCCAGCCTCTGCACTCGTTTGCACTCCTCCCGCGCAGTCCCCCTGCCCTTCCCGTGGCGGACCGGAGAGGCGCACGCCAAGTTCCTGGAGATGCGGGAGTTGTGGCACTCCACGCAGACGCGGTTCCAGCAGAGGGGCCTGAGTTTCGGCGAGTTCAACGCGCCCTATCAGAAGGCCCTTCTTCTTCTGCTCCTCCACCTTCCCTTCCCTCTCGCCCTCCTCCTCCTCCTTCTCCTCCGTCTCCGCCTCCTCCTCCTTCTCCTCCTCCTCCTTCTTCTCCTTCTTTTCCTTCTCCTCCTCCTCCTTTCCCCGTGCTTCCGCTCTAGTTTCGCTCGCGGGCGCCCATGCGAGAGATGCAGCTCGAGCTCTTGTGAGAGTGGTGGCCCTGCAGGCCCTAGAGACACCACCCGCAACGCGTCCGTAACTCATCTCAGCCAGCGCGTACAGCGCAGACATGGCGTGGGGCCGCGAAGTTCCCCGCTGGGTGTCCCGGGGGCAACCTCTGGACGAATGTTCCCAGCGACGGCAGACATCGTGAGGGTGAGGGCAGTGGCAGGGTCAGGGCGATTTCAGTGGAAAGGGAGAAGGCAAGGGGCGGGTGAGGGTAGGGTTTCGGGGGATGGGGTAAAGGGCACCGATGATGTTGAAGACGAGGGCGATGATTCCTGTCGTTTTCGCGGGGTGCACGCGGGGAGCGCGTAAAGGACGGGCGTCGGGTGGTTCGCCCTGCTCGGCGCTGTTCTGCGTTGCCGTTGTGGCCTCCCCGGGGCGCTGCCAGCGCCGCGGGAGGCGCCCCGCCCCGTGTTTGCGCCGGGACGAGCGTGCGACTGCCCACGAGGGCAATGGGCATCCACCGCGTGTCAGCACATGTGAGGCAATGCCCAGTTCAAACCCCGATGAGCACAGCAGCAGCGCGCCACTCGTGTACAGCTCCCCGAGCCTGCCCCTCGGCTGCCTTTCGCAGGGGGCCGCTCGGGGCCCGGGGCCGTGCTGTGGCTCTCCTGTGGTCCTCTCGGGCTGTCTTGGGGGCCGTCTTGGGCCGTCTTGGGGGCCTCGTCGGGCCATCCTGGGGCCATCTTGGGCCCTCTTGGGGCCCTCTTGGATGCCCTTTGGGGTCGTCTTGGGCTTGGATGCTGCTTGGGCCATCATGGGCTTTCGAGAGCCGACAAAGGGGACAACGCGACCGTCTGGTGAACCTGATACGAAAATCGATATGTTTGGCCTCTGGAGGTCTCTTGGTGGCACCCTTGGGGCCCTCGTTTGGGACCCTCTGGGGCCGTCTTGGTGGCCTCTTGTGCCCTCTTGGGGCCATCTTGGGCCGTCGTGGCCGTCGTGGGCCGTGTGGAGGCCATGCTGAGCCGTCTTGCGGCCCTCTTGGACCCCCAAGAGGCCAAACATGCCAACGTTATAGATTTCTAATACGTTTTCGTATTTTTTGAAGCCCAGAAGGGGGTTCACTGCGTTCGGTCGACGGAAGTGGGGTGTCGCCAGGGGGGGGTTACGGGGGGACCGAATTATGTATAGTGTATACTGGTACGTGTATGTAGCAATTCTATAATCATGTGATGCATTGGATACGATGCATTTTCGCCTCCGCTGAAAACGCTACCGCTCAGCCCGTCACATCCGGACGTGGATTCCTCTCGCTTCGCTGGGTGCGCGTCGGGGGCGCGTAAGGAATGGACGTTGGATTGTTTGCCCTGCTCTTCTGCCGCGCTGTTCTGCCATGTCGTTCTGCCGCGCTGTTCTGCCATGGTGCTGCCCGCGCCACGGGGGACGGATTCGCCCTCCCCCGTTTCAGCGACTGGACGAGGGTGCGAATGTCCACAGGGCAATGAGCGTTCACCGCGTGCCAGCTAAAGGCAGTGTCAAGTTCAACCTCCAATATGCATAGCAGCAGTGCGCCATTCCTATACAATTCCGCGGGTCTCTTTGTGGTTTCTTGGGGCCGTTTGGGGGCCTCTCGGAGGCTTCTTGGGGCCTCTTGGGGGCCTCTTGGGGGCCTCTTGGGGGCCTCTTGGGGGCCTCTTGGGGGCCTCTTGGGGCCTTCCAGGGGCCTCTTGGGCCGCTTTGGGGCGCCGTTGCGCTGCCTGGCCCCTTCGGAGGCCGTTTTGGGGACCTCTCGGGGCCGTCTTGTGGCTCTCTTGAGTCCTCTTGGTCCGTCCTGGGGGCCGCTTGGGCCGTCTTGGGGGCCTCTGGGGGTCTCTGGGGGCGGCGGCTGCTGGGAGAGGCGCTCGCGAAACATGAGTTCCAGAGATGGCGAGCCACAAGAAAAGAACAGAGGGGGAAGCGGAGCCGCTAACGCGCTGCGAGCCAAGTTTCTGGGGCGCGTGTCGTTCGAATTTGAAAGAGGTGGATCATCGCTTGAAGGAGAAGAAGAGACACACGTCTCCGTGTTGACAGTTGGGCGGCGGGTGCTTTCAGAGGGCCCTAAAGGTCAGGGCGGGACTGCCTCTTTGACAGCGGGGCCCCGCTGTCAACGCGGGGCGGGCGGACCGAGCAGGTTTCCCTGTTGACAGCGGGGCGCCGCTGTGAAGATACGCGGGGCACAGGCGGGAGTGTGCATTTGACAGCGGGGCCCTGCTGTCAACGCGGGCCGGGCGAAAAGCGCAGGTCCCCTGTTGACAGCGGGGCGCCACTGTCGAACGGCTTCGGACCCAGACGTGAACGGGCATTTGACGGCGGGGCTTTCTGTCACCGCGAAGCGTGCGGGCGGCGCATGTTTCCCTATCGACAACGGCAGCGATAAAAGGGTTGGGTCCTCCTCCTGCTCCTCCTCCTCCTCCTCCTCCTCCTCCTCCTCCTCCTCCATCTTTCTCCTTCTCTTCCTTCCTCCTCCCCCGCGCCCTCCTCATTTTCTCTCTTCCTCCTCCCCCTCCCCCTCCTCCTCCCCCTCCTCCTCCTCCTTCTCCTCCTCCTCCTCCTCCCCCCTCCCTCCTCCTCCTCCCTCCTCCTCTCCTCCTCCTCCTCCTCCTCCTCCTCCCCTCCTCCTCCTCCTCCTCCTCCTCCTCCTCCTCCTCCTCCTCCTCCTCCTCCTCCTCCTCCTCCTCCTCCTCCTCCTCCTCCTCTCTCTCTTTCTCCTCGGCCTCCCCCCGCGCGCCGTACGAGCGTGCGCAGGTACGCGCGACGAAGACAGCATCGTCGACGACGGCGATGATGATGCCGACGACGACGACGACGGCGGCGACGACGACGCCGACGACGATGACGACGACTACGACGACGACGACCGCGACTGCGCCAACGGCGGCGGCGACGACGACGATTGGCGCGCGGCCAGGCATACCGCCATCTCCTCCTTCTCCTCCTCCTCCTCCTCCTCCTCCTCCTCCTCGTGCCTCCCTCCCTCCTCTGCCTCCCCTCCTCCTCCTCCTCCTCCTCCTCCTCCTCGTCGTCCTCCTCCTCCTCCTTCCTCCTCTCCTCCTCCTCCTCCTCCTCCTCCTCCTCCTCCTCCTCCTCCTCCTCCTCCCTCCTCCTCCTCCTCCCTCCTCCTCCTCCCTCCTCCTCCTCCTCCTCTCCTCCTCCTCTCCTCCTTCTCCTCCTCTCCTCCTCCTCCTTCTCGTTCCCTCCTCCTCCTCCTCCTCCTCTTCTCCTCTCTCCTCCTCCTCCTCCTCCTCCTCCTCCTCCTCCTCCTCCTCCTCCTCCTCCTCCTCCTCTCCTCCTCCTCCTCCGTAGCCATTTTGGCTCAAGGTTTTGAGATCCCCTGGGAAATAAGTGGCTACCGTAGTCCGCGGCTAGACTCCATCCTTCGTGCGGCCGCCGGTTTGCAACAGTGCGCCGCCTGCAGCCCCCCAGCGGGCGAGCAGTCCTCTCTTGCTGGGATCCAGCGGTGCGCGGGTCTTCGGCGTCCCATGGGCCCCAGCGGGGCCAAGGGCGGTCATGGCGGCAGCTGTGGCAAAGGCAGGGACAAGAGCGGCATGTACCTCAGCTGTTCGGCGTGCCACTACCGCTTGAGCCTCAAGTCTAACCACTGGTGCTACCACTGCCGCGCGCCGCTCGTGGCCAACCCGTCGCCCGACGAGCTTCCTATCGGCCAGAGCTCCGTCTGGGCTCCTGAGGGTCTTTGGGGATGGCGTTGGAAGAGCTTTTAGCGCTGACCCCCAGCGCCGCCGCGTCGGCGCTACCGCAGTGCTGGTGGTCTGGGATGGGAGTGCGTAGTCTCGCCTTCAGGGCTGGGCCTCCACTTTGACGGGCCGCCTCCAGACGGTGCTGAGGGTAGAAATTCTAGCATTCGAGTTTGCTCTTCGAAACATCCCAGGCCACTTTGCATACGTTACCGGCAACAAGCCCCTGTTAGAAGGATGACACCGCCGTCGTAACATTCATCGCGACGGTGTCAATTCCGATCAGTGGTTTCGACTTCTTTGAGCCGTGATGGGCTGCGAAGACGGGATTGTTTGGCCGTGTGCCTCTTCCCATGTTGATCCTTTCGGCCACCTCTTTCCGAGGATGAGGCTCTCCTCGCGGCGGGCGTTGATGTAGCCAATGAGCTCTCGTCCAAGGCTGCCTGGGAGTCTTGGGATATCGCCACCAGGGGTCAGCGAGTGCCTGACACTGGCCGTTGGGACGCCGCTTATTCTGTGAACCGCCAGCGGGCCGCCAAGGCGGCGGGGGAATCCATCCGCGTGGCCCCCTGGACCGCGGAGAGGCCCAATTCGGGCCGCCCGAAAACGACCAAACTTCAGGCTGCTCTCTCTCGCAGCTCGCATTGCTTAGTTAAAACTGGCTGAAAGTGGACTTGCTCGTTTTTGTCTGAAATCTTTCCCGCGGCTAGCGTGCTGGAGGCGTGTGACCAGCCCTGCCGAGCTGTTGATGTCGGCTCGGCGCAGGATGCGTTCATTAGTGGGATCGTGCGGGCGAGTGGGGTTGGTGGAGGTGGGAGGTGTTGAGCTTCATCAGAGTCGTTGCCTACATTTTTGGCCTGCGCATTCCTTCTACTCCTGCTCCGTGTGTGGCCGAACGGCCGCTGTGGTTCCCAGGCGGTTTACTCAGGAGTGCACTGGACGCTCCAAAAAGGGGCCGGATCATCTCCACAGAATTCGGCGGGGGTTTGTCCTTGGCTACAAGGGTCCAGCTGCTCCTGCTTTGGAGGCTGCCGCCTGCCGTATTAGGCGCGATCAGGCGCGCCGGATGGTGCCAGTTGCCAGTTGCCCTGTAGGTGCGTTGGCCACGAGGACTGGCGCCCAGGACGCTCCCCCTTCTCCCCCTCCTCTTCCTCCTCCTCCTCCCCCTCCTCCCTTTCCTCCTCCTCCCTCTCCTCCTCCTCCTCCTCCTCCTCCTCCTCCTCCTCCTCCTCCTCCTCCTCCTCCTCCTCCTCCTCCTCCTCCTCCTCCCCCCTCTTGCGTGCACCTCCTCCTTACCATTCCTTGCCTCCTTCCTCCCCCACATCCTCCGCCCTCCCCGTTCCTCGACGGCTCGGCTCTTGGTGTCTCGTGCGTGCTCCCTGGTGCCTAGAGCGTCGACCAGCAGCTATTTGCGTACCTTTTGGCTCGCCCTGCACGGGGGGGCCTGACCAGGGAGCGTGGCTTGCGCGCGCGCGACGCGCGACCGCCACCCTTTCCGATTCGTGGTGTGTTGCCGAAGGTGTCCCCGATGGCCCAGGTGGCAGGTCGGCAGCTAAACAGTGGTTTGGCCATTTCCTGTACCGCTTTCGTTCAATCTCGCTTTGCAGCAAAAGCGCAGCGCAGGCAGACCGAGGGAACATAAACAACTAAAGCAGAAGTCGCTGTTTAGCTCGAGCCCTGCCAGATGGCCTCCAGTGGAGACCCAAAAAGCCTCCAGAGCACCCCTCACAAGGCTCAGAGGGCTCCAGGAGCTCCAACATCGTGCGAAAAGCCAGGGACATCTTGGGCCAGGACCACCTGCTTCTTCCGATGCAGACCACCGTCCTAGTTCCGGTCCTCTTTCCTCGACCCTCGACCCTCGACCTCCGCTCCTTGAAACTCGATCTTCGAACCTCGATCTGACGACGACGACGACGAGGACGACGACGACGACGACGCCTGACTGCCTCCGGAGGTCTCTGGAGGTCCCTGGAGGCTCCCGATGGCGCTCCTGCAAGACTCAGGGCCCCGCAGACGGGGACACTGATGCACCAGGACATTGGCGCATTCAAGAAAGCCGCAGCCGTGGGTCGAAACATTCTTTCACGTCGTAGCGCGGCAGAGGCAGTCCGCACGCGCGCTCGAGCGGCCCCGGCAACGGAAAGCGCGAGTGAACCGGCGGCAGGCTGAGGAGAAGCCGGGCGGAAGCGGCCGCGGGGCGGGAGGAGGAGAGGGGAGGGCGCTCACGGGGCGGGCGTCGCCGCGGAGCGGCCGGGGCGGTCAGCCAATGGGCTGAGGGTGGAAACATTCCTCTCTTCGTTTTCTCCTGCCAGATCTGGCAGGGTCCTGGTCTGAAGCGTTGGTCTTCGGCGCTCCGGAAGGCCGTCCCCCGGTCCTCGCCTTCTCGAGCCCCAGTCATCAGCCCTGACGTCCGCCGACATGTCGTCAAAGTGCGGCCCCAGAGGTCCCGACCGACGCCCTGGGGAGGTCGTTTTTTGCCTTGGATCTGCTTTTGATGGTCCTGGGTCCCGATGATGGGCTTTGGAGGCCGACGTACAGGAACAAAAACGCGCCGAATCAGAAAATCACATGGTAAGGAACTTTGGCTCAGCGTGTCGCGCCGCCGGTTCCGGCCCACCACGCTGCGGCGCGGCACGCTATCAACGTCCCCACTTCCGAACGCCAGCTCATCTCTGGACGGGACCATGTTCACAAGGGGAGTTTCACTCGGGCATGGCGTCCCGAGCATTTCCGAGCCTCCTGCCCCGTGGAGTAGAGCGACACGCTGTCCGCTCGCAGGGCACAGCGTGTCGCCAGAGCCGCCGCCGCCGCGCCACGCGAAGCAAAGCAACAAATCCGGGAGCAGGAGACGCCAGGCAAGCGGCACGCACATGCCCTGGCTCCCGCAAGAGGGAGGCGCGGGTCAGGCGAGCGGGGGCGAGGACGGGGGGGGGGGACGGTCCTACATCGCCGTGACGAAAGTTTCTTTCAATTTGCCTTTTGGAATGGCGCGCTCGTGCGGAGTAGTTCGGAGTAGTTTTACTAAAACTACTCCGCGCGCAATCGCATCCCGCTCGATAATTTGTATGGTTTGGCGCGGAGTAGTTTCCGATCCCATTTTGGGGTAATGGGAGAGATCTTCATCATAGCAAATTGAAGAAACTTTTGTCACGGCTGCCTAGGGCCACTCTGAGGGGGCATGGGCAGGGGGGCCCCAGAGGGGCTACGAGTGAACGAGCGAAGGAGCGACTACGAAAATCAAGGGCTCCGAGCTCTAGGACACTGCTGTGCAGAAGCCGCGCCTAGACGGCGTATTGGCAATGAGGAAGGCACTTCCGAATGAAATACGCATGGCGCCGCAGCGCCTCGGTTTTCCGCGTCGACTGCTCTGACCCAGCGCGTTGCGAGGGCACAATTGCGCAGCTGCCACGTGCACCACGTTGCAAGAAAAGGCCAGGGAGGAGAAGAGAAGAGGGAGGGTGCGAGAACTGCCGAGGATACACACAGCTGCGCAGGAGACTTTACGAGTTACACCGCCAGAGCTCTGGGGCCACCGAGACCACAGGCTGGCCCTCGTCGGGCGGCGCCAGGACGAGGATAAATCCGTTCCAGAGCGTTCCGGAACGCTCTCAGAGCGTTCCCGAACGCTCTGAGAAGGCCGCGGCGCCCGAGGCATCCTCCAGAGCCATTTTGTCCTCGTCCTGGCCTCGTCTCACCTCGGCCCTGGGCCCACCCCGCCCCCGGCCCTGGCCCGTGCACGGCCACGAGGCCTACCGCCACCTCCGGCAGCTGGCCGAGCAGCTCGCGCCCGCGAGGCCGCTGCCGCTGCCGGAGCGCGGGTACGTGGAGGTCCACGGCCCGCAGGCGCGGGGCTCTGCGACCAAGTGGGGGCCCTACCCCTGCGGAGCTCGGAGGTGGCGTCATCGGGTGCTGACGGATGGGGGGGCAGCGAGGGCTGCAGACAGGGGCCCTTCCCTGGAGGGACCCTCCAGGTTCCAGAAGGGGCCCTCCCGGGCCCGAGGAGGGCACTTGTCGCCCAAGGATCGTGTCGACGCTGGGGTCTCGGGCACCCCCGCTGGTTCACTTGGCTGCAGGCATGTGAACCCTGTGGGCCTCAGCTGGTTCTGCCAGGAACCCGACCTGCAGGGGAAGGGTGCACACGTGGCTGCCCAGGGGCGGCGCTGGCGCGTCAGAGAGAGAGGGCGAATACGTGCAAGGCCCGCCTCTGGGCTATTCGCTCTGATCGTCGCCGCCGAGGTACTCCCAGACCTGCTCGCGCCGTGAACAAAAATACGACGGGAGGCTTTTGGCCGCTTTCGGCCTCCTCCGGGGGCCCTTGCCGGGCCCTCTGGTCGCCAGGCCCGGGGACCGTCAGACACCGACTCATGGGTGAAAACTCCGGTGGCGGGACACAGTCATCGAACACTCCCCCTCTGCCCCACGCGCGGAGGAGACTGCGGTCGAGGTGCAGCTCACCAGACCCATCGCCAACTTTGAGCGTCGGGCGTTCACTCTTTTGCTCCTCCCCCCGAGGGCCCCATAGGGAGCTCCACCGAAGGCCCGCCCCAGTGGCGCAGTTCGCATGCGGTTCCCCCACCCAAGGCAGCGTTTCGTGGCCCCATAGGGAGCCCCACCGAAAGCAACACCCACAGCGCGTTACGAACAATTGCTTATGGTTGGGTCCTTCGCCAGGATAATTTGCTCCTCCCCCCGAGAGGCCGGTCCTCCCGGGGCCAGCCGGGGCCGAGACCTCCGGGACTCTGCGTGGTGACGACAGCTGTGGCGCCTCGGCCCCGCAGGCGCGGGGCGGCGGCGGCTCCCGAGAGGGAGAGCTGCGGTCAGGGGCAGCGTTTAGGGGGGTCTGCTCAGGGGGGGTGGTTCGGCCCCCAGTCTTAGGTCGGGGCTGCCCCCCTAGAGGCGGAGTTTGGGCGAAGAAAGCAAAACATACGAACATGCTACAAAACAATGACAAATTCGCCCCCGTATTATTTTTGACCATTTTTGAATGTTCCTCCTGTAGAGGGACACGCCCGACGTCACCCCAGTCGCCCATCCGCTGCCGACCGCCCACTCCGTCCAGGGGCGTGCGGATGCGCAGTCGGGGGGCCCACCGCCGATGCATCGGCGACGTATCGCCGCTTCAGGCGCCGTTTGCCCTCCCTGAGCTGGTCTCGCCCGAGCGTTGCCCCTCCTTTTTCAGCGAGGACTTCGGAGGTGCCCGGATGTCTCTGGTCTCGGGGGCGCCCACGATGGGGGTGAGAATTTTGTGTGTGTGTGTGTGTGTATATCATGGCTGGGGCCATGCGTCTTTCCGATATCACGGCCCTTTCTTCTTCTTCTTCGCCTTTTCTCTTCGATGCGTCCCCTGGCCTCCTTCTGACCACGCACACGCCATGGGTTACGCGCTGGCTCCCCTCTTCTTGCCCCCCCCCCTCCCGTTCGGCGCACCCGACTCTGGTCCACAGGCCCCTCTAAGAGCTCCAGCCGCCCCCGAAGCTCGCGGAGGCCCACGGAGGCCGTCGGGGGTCCCAGAGGCAATTGAAGGCAATACGCACGCTGAAGGCAGCATGCCCTTTGCCCTCCGACAGCAAAGAGCTCACTGTAGTCCTTGCCTTCAGTGAGCAAGCATATTGGGGTCAGGCCCCGGGAGACCAGGACACACATTTACCAGGGCACGGACAACCCAAGGAACGACACCTCCTCCTGCAAAGGCACATGCTCCAGCGCCCGTGCATGTTCTGTTTGCTGCACTTCAAGATTCGGGTCTGTGTCCGGGTTTAGGGGGGTCTTGCAAGCTTTTAGGGCCTGTGTCCAGGCTCATTCTGGAAATGCTGCATTGCAGTATTTTGTTCGTGCCGCCGCCTGGAAGAACTGGTTTCGAGGGATGTTCAGCATCCCTCGAAACCCGGACCCCCACACAGACACGCTAGACACGCTAGATCCGGACGCCCAAGGGGTGTCTGGGTCTAGCGTGCCCGGGCTTACCGGGCCTTGCCCAGGACGGACGCCCACGAGGCAGGAGGCCCTCGGAGCCTGCGGGAGGCCGTCGGAGGTCCCTCCTCGGCGGGATCCCGAGGCCTCCGAAGGAGGCCCCCAGGGCGGGAGGCCCTCGGGGGGCGCCGGAGGCCGTGGCCGTCGTCCGTCGGCGCCGCCGTGGGCGTGCGTCGTCGGGCCGGGGCGCCTCGAGGCTCGAGGAGTCGATCGGCGACCGGGCGCTCCTCCCTCTCCTGCTTCCTCTCCCCGCCCTTGTTTTGCGGGGCTGGGCAGGCTCCAGGTGCAGAGCCTGCAGCGTACCCCTTGTCCTCCTCCTCCTCCTGCTCCTCCTGCTCCTTCTGCTTCCTCCTCGGTCCTGCTCCTCCTTCTTCTTCCTCCTCTGTCCTCCTCCTTCCTCTTTGTCCTCTGTCCTCCGCGTCCTCCTCCTGCTTCTCTTGTAGCAATTGCGGCTCAAGACGGCATCGTTTGACTTGCGGCTCAAGCGAGCCGAGGCATGCTATGATCCTTATTTTCTGCCACGTTCCCGTGGGTGTAAAACCCTGGCGCTTCCTTCTGCACGTCCCCTGGCGCGTCCACTGTCACGTCCCCTGGCACGATCCCTGGCGTGTGCTCTGGCGCTTCCCTTGGCTCGTCCTCTGGCGCTTCCTCTGCCCGTTCCGTGTCGCTTCCCCTGTCGCGCCCCTTGCCACATCCCCTGGCGCGTCCACTGGCGCCCCCCCCCTGGCATGGCGTCCTCTGGCCCGCCTCCTGGCACGCTCCTTGGCACGCCCCGTGGCGCATCCCCTGGGACGTCTACGGAAGTAGCAGGAAGGATAGTGGCCCTGAGACTGCGGGCGCAAAATAGTTTACTGAGGAACTACGGATTGCTGGCGCAGCGCAGCACGAGTTATCGTGGTCTTGGTAGCGCGGGCGCGACGTACTTTACGAAGGATCATTGCCTTTTGAGCGCGCACCAGCGTAATTTACAAGCGATCGTGGCCCTCTAGGAGTGCGGACGCAGCGTAAATTACAAGGGACCGTGGCCCTGGGAGCGCGGACGCACCTTTTACGTGCAATCATTGGCGAGCGCGGCCGGAGCGGCTGGAGCGGCTCGAGGCTCGAGGCTCCGAGGGCCGAGGCTGCTTCGGGCGGCCCGAGGGCGAGGTTTCGGGGACCGAAGCTCGAACCTCGAGGATCGAGGGCGAAGGCGCTTCGGCGTCCTCTCTCCCAGTGCTCGAGGAGCGGGGGCGTCTTCTGGGCGAGGGCCGGAGCTCGGACTTCGAGGATCGAGAGAGTGGGGGATCGAGGTTCGAGCGTCTTTGGGGGGTCCCCTCGGCCTCGATCGGCGGCGAGCGAGGGGGGGAAGTGAAAGGAGGAGGCTTTCTCAGGAGGCGGCGGGGCTTCTCAGGAGCCCTCGCGTCTCGTGAGAAGGCTTCCGTGTCTTCGGGGAAGGCTCAGGGAAGTTTTCAGAAGGCCAGGGGACCTCCGAGCCTTCTGCGAAGGCCCGCCCCTTCTCACTTGCCCCCCGGGCTCGCCGGCGACTCAAGGGGGCTCCTCATCGTCACGCCTGAGGTGCCTCGACAGTCTGGTCAGAGTCGCAAGCCCTGGACTAGACAGGACGGGGCGTCGGATTTTCCGAGTTGCTCTTCGTGGCAACTTCGGCGTCCCAGCAGCCCCTGGAGGTTTTCGGGCCCAATCGGCGTCTGAGCCCAGTGGGCCGCCGAGTGGACCTGGGATGGAGCCCATTCGGCTGCCGAGCGGGCCGAAGCCGCGCCACCCTGCGGCCCAGCCGGCGACCGAGCGGGCTCGGACGCCGACCGCGGCGCGGGCCGTATCCTCGGGCACGTCGAACTTGCAAAGCCCGCGGATTTGGGCGCCGGATTCTCTAGCCGAAGAGTGTTCTTCGCCGCTGCGACGGCTCAGCCGAAGTTGCCTCTTCCCGTTCGGTCGCGGGGCACCAGTGCAGTGCTGTCGACGGAGGACGTCTTGAAAGGGGCCCGTTTGGCGACGGGGCCCCTGTACACTGTCGCCAGGGTGCGTGTCGTTGCTTCGCGTAGCGAAGGCATTTCCACGAACTTTGGATTTCGGACCAGGGAGCGTCGACGTCGGTCGAACACTGTCCGTCGAAGGAGTATTGGGCGGAATCGCCATTCCGACTTCGGGCCGACGAGCTTCGACATCAAGTCGAAGGCGTTTTCTCGAGGAAGTCCCAAGCGAACACCCACACTTTCGATTGGTCGGGTTGCCAAGTTTAGCATTGAATGCCACACGGGTTGCCCGAGTCGAAACGACGATTATGCTTGAGAAGTCATCGAGAAAAAGGAGCAAGCAACAAAGTAGACAGACCTGGGTTCCCCCTACAATTTATTATTTGATAGGTTTCGTGCGCCCCAGCAAGTGCGCAAGGGCGTTCGAATGATTTCGACATGCGCGCGCGATAGGCCCGCTTGGTCGCATTTGATTCGCAGGAGCGCGCGCGGATTTTCTTGTCAGAACCATGTCTCGTTGTAGTTTTTGTTTTCTTGTTTCATATGTTCACGGAACCTAGAGTTTGACAGATTTCGGCATGCGCGCGCGACGCTGCGCGGGTGTAAATATAGCCACACTGTTGCAAGGGACTTTGCAAAATTATTCATTTTTGATGAACGAGTGCGCGCGCATAGTATCATTTGTCAGGGATGGGGGAGGGGGTCGAACCCGCTGTGGCTGGGATGGTATGAATTCATGTGGAAAGTGAGCGATGGGGCAGAATCATACGGTAGCTTCGCGTCGTGTCGACCAGTGGTGACCGCGCCGCCAGCGTTCAACGTTGAATGCCGCCAGCGACCCAGAATCGGTCGATGTTGAACGATCGGACATTTCGGGAACGGCCGATCGTTCAAAGTGGAACGATCCCCGCGGTGTCATGAACCTACGCCGAAGTCGACAATTGGCGAGCCTGCCGTATGTAAATTGCACTTCCTCCGGGGGGGCGGATGACCCGGGGGGGCTAGATCCGAATTCTCTGTTAGAGCGGAGAATGTATGTGGGGCCATCTGCACGGTGCAGTCGGCGTGGGGCAAGGTGTGTGGTGCAGTCGACGTGGTGCAAGCTGTATCGTGCAGGCTGTGTGATGCAACCTATGTGGTGCAGTGTATGCATGTGTGTGTGGTGCAGGCTCTGTCGCGCACTTGGGCCCAGAGGCACCAGCGACGAACGGCGGCGACGCGCGGCGACGGACGACCACGAGCCGGCCGGACGGGCACCGGGGCGCAGGAGCTGCGGCGACGGAGGGCGGCGACGGGCGACGACGGGCGGTGACGAGCCGGCCAAGACCGGCGCCGGTGCCCAGTGCCGTAGGGGGGAGAGCGAGGGCCCCTACGTGCGAGCACTGCCCGAGGGACCGTACACGGACATTCGATTCGAACCCTGTGGCCCAAGATGCCCCCCAGGTTCCCCGAAATTGATATTGATGGCGTGGCGACGGGGGGGGCGTGAGTGGACAGAGCTATTCGAACCCAAAAGCACCGCCTTTACTGAGATCAACATTGATGTCGGGGGCGCGGGGGTGATTTAGAATCTCCCTCGAATGTGTAAGGGTTCGAATGTATTGTCCATCTACGGGAAAGAGCTGCGTTTTTATTGCAGTCACAAGTTCCCGCACACGCGGTCGCGCCACGCCCGCAGCGCACGGCGCGTCTTCTCCGTGGGCGCCATTTCGCCATCTGCTTGCGGGTCAAGCCGCGAGAGGCGACACCAGGATCGAGCGTTGGCCTGCGGCAGTGAGGCCAGGTCTCCGTCCGAAATTCGGGACACGGCCCACACGGACAGAGCCTTCAACGACGCAGGGCCAGAATACAGGACCCCAGTCACTCGGGCTTGGCACAGTGCAAGTTACGCTGTTGGCAGGCCTGTCAGCCGTGGTTCGCTACGTGCCAGTGCCACGAACTGAGCTCGCGCCTCCAACTGCCATCGTTCACGGCACGCTTATGCGTCAGCCATTGCTCGAGCCACGGTTTCTCCCAGTACTCCATCCGTGCGCGCCCCGTCACGCAGAGCATGACTTAGCATGGCTTCCCAGGTCTCAGGGGTGGCCTCGTGCAGCCAGTTATAGGCCAGAGCTGGGTTGCCGCCCACGCGCATGATCTCGTCAGAGATGGCCACTTGGGCGTCCGCCAATCGGCGGCAACCGAGCCTCTGCGACGCTCCCGCGGTCTTCGCGGACATGGCACTCGCGTGCCAGGACGACGACGGCCGGACGGGCGAGCAGACGCCCGCGACCCCTCGTGGCGCGACACGCCCAGGGCAGAGAGTACGCGCCCGAGCTGCATGGAAAAGCTGCACCTGCAGCGTTCCTCGACGCAGCGACTCTGGCGACGAGGTCTCCTTCCAGGTCGAGCAAGTGCTCGCGCAAGCACGCCCCGATTGCGTTAGCGCCCCCGTCCGTCACTTGCCAAATCCAAGACTCCGCCAGCGCGCCTGCGCCGCAGCGGCGCGCTAGAATGCCTGCAAGGTGTCCGGCAGGGTCTCTGCGTGTCAGCCACGCGCTGAGGGGGTTATGGGGGAGGGGGGAAGGCTTCTTAGAAGCACCGCTAGTTCTTAGAAGGCGCGGGCCTTGTCTGTAGATGTAAGGCCGGCGCCTTTTAAGAAGCAGCCTCCTTCTAAGGAGCCTTTCCCCCTCCCCCTACCCCCTTAGGCGCGCGGCCGATCGTGCCCCAGATGGCGCCTCGACAAGCAGTGTGCCCCAAGATGTCTTAGAGCAAGTCTTCCTATAGCGTGTGTCTACCGTATATGCCCTGCAGTTGGGGGGTGCTTCTGCGAGAGGGGCCGCCGCGACCGCCGCGGCGGGCGAGGCCGAGTCCTTGCGAGTCATGACGCTGAACGTGCTCTCGGAGGCGCCCGCGGGAGGGGTTCGGAGGGACTCAATATAGTACACAAAGTCGTCTTGTCGGCCAAGGAGCCAAAGCACTCCTCGAAGAGTTTTGGTGCATAGACGCTTCAGCATCCCACCGGCTGGGAAGCCAGGGCATCTATACACCCAGCTCCTTGGCCGACCAGGCGACTTGGTGCATACCTCCCAGGGGTGAGGGAGGATTCAGAGGGGAGCGGGAGAGGGAGAGGAGGGAGATGGGGGAGGGGGGGAGGGGGAGGGGAGCGCGATGATGATGATGATGATGATGATGATGATGATGATGATGATGATGATGATGATGATGATGATGATGATGATGATGATGATGATGATGATGATGCTGATGATGATGATGATGATGATGATGATGATGATGATGATCATGGTGATGGTGATGGTGATGGTGATGATGATGATGATGATGATGGTGGTGGTGGTGGTGGTGGTGGTGATGATGATGATGATGCTGATGATGAGGAGGATGAGGAGGATGAGGATGAGGACGAGGATAGGATGAGGATGAGATGAGGATGAGGATGAGGATGATGACGATGACGATGATGCTGATGATGCTGAAGATGCTGATGCTCATGCTGATGCTGCTGCTGGTGATGGTGATGCTGAGGCTGGTGCTCTGCTGCTGCTGCTGATGCTGCTGATGATGATGATGATGATGATGATGCTGATGCTGCTGATGATGATGATGATGATGATGATGATGCTGATTATGATGATGATTCTGATGAGTGGATGATGATGACGATGATGATGAGGAGGAGAAGGAGGAGGAGGAGGAGGAGGAGGAGGAGGAGGAGGAGGAGGGAGGGAGGGAGGGAGGGAGGGAAGGAAGGAGGGAGGGAGGGAGGGAGGGAGGGAGGGAGGAGGAGGAGCAGGAGGAGGGGGAGGAGGAGGAGGAGGAGGAGGAGGAGGAGGAGGAGGAGGAGGAAGGATGTGGTTGTCAGGCCCATGCCAGCCTCTCCTCCTCCTGCGCCTCTCTCTGTATTTTCTTTTGCGCCGCCATATCGGCTCACAAGGGCCCTTGAGCTATCATGGCGCGCCGGTGACGGACCGCTCACGCCTCCGTAAACGGAAAGATAATGTGCTTTCTTCTAGCACGGATCCCCCCAGTTGTACCTCGTGTCTTTCTGTATGCAGACAGTCAGACAGTCACTCCCGAACAATCCACAGTGGCAGCGGAGCCTGTGGTTGAGATCCACGAGGGGAGTCAGGACGACTCCCCTGTCATTCGATCTTCGGGTGACATACTCTTTACTCTTATCCCATTATTTCCGCTCCCTACCTTGTTGCACCGAACGCCGATATGGATTTTCCAGACGACGCTCAGCTTCAAGAAGATGAATTTCCAGCATATCCTTTGTTACAACCAGATCAGGATCCTTGGGCAGGAACCAAAGGATGAGAAGACGTTCTTTGGGGAGGTGCTGACACTGTGGGCTGGTCAGATCGGGCCATGGCCCGCTGGTTCTCACAGCCTTGGACCGAGACACAGCCCAAGACGCAACTATCTTCATCCGGTTGGTCTGCGCGGGGAGTTGGCTCGCCGGCTGCACCAGATCGGCAAATCACGCCCCTGCGAGGACAGGTTTTTGCCTTTTACCCCTTTTGCTCCGACCCATTGGGGAGATGCCACTGCCAGATCATCTCATCGCCCACTTGGGATGGACAAGATCCAGATATTCGTCTAGACCCTTATATGACGGAGCTGCAGGTGTGGCTCGCTACCACCAGAACTCTGACAACGCAACACGGATGCCTTATCTATATCTATGCCAAAGACAACCTCAAGATCACCATGAACGAATTCACCGAGGACGAGTTGTTTTGACAGGGCGGTGGGTAGGTTTTGCTTAAAGATACTAAGAGGGCTTTTGCCAAATACCAAGACCGCAGGATGCGGAAAACTTTTGACAGCTCTCCTATTCGGACGTCACCAAGTGTAAGCGATATGATCCCCAGATCAAGTATATCATGCGTTAGCGCGTGCGCTTACGAGAACTCGAGAAGCACGCGACCTTGCCAGAGGACTTCAGCGGGTACGTGCTCTGAGCATCCAAGCTCAACGACGCTACTTGGGATGCGGCTGAGCACTGGACAGAGGGATCATGCGACTTTGATCTGGTGTGCGGAAACCTTCGGAAGTTTGAACGACCGCTACCTTCCGGCAAATGTGGCCATCGTGTCCATGGTGTGAGTTCTTACTCGGTTTTGTCGGATATCATGGAGAGGATGGCGGATGCGAGGACCAGGAGTAGTATCGCGACGACTTTCAATGGGTTTTGATGGAACTGTCTTCGTTTACCTTGCCCGAGTCCTGTGAGAAAGACGAGATCCGGACTGAGGCTATCAAGTACATGGACGACGAAAACGTACTCTTCGTAGCTGGGGACCTGCCCGACGACGGGGTTCAAGTAGAGGATGAGGCCGTCGCCATCTACGCTAACTAGAATCATGTGCGACACTACTTACGCAAACGGAAGCTTGGACGAGGTTTTTTTCAAACTGCCCCCCAAAAGGCAAGCTCAAAGGCCCCCGAAAGGGAAAAGTCGAGGGGAACGGACTGGACATGCCCGGCCGGAGTGGTGGACCAAAAGTGAGTTGGTGAGTCGCTCGGAATGTGCCGATGTGGGAAAATTTGACACTGGGCTCTGGACTGTACGACGGAGCCAGACGAGCGAGAACGCAAGCGACAAGCAGGCTTCGGCGGCTTCCATACTCGGCACGACCGTTGTCAACAGGAACCTACGATCCAGTCTGGAGGCAGTTCTTTTACTTCTCCTATCTCTGCTACTGCCGACGCTGGCGGTCAGTGTTTCATTGACATTATGGTTCGGAGGGGCTTAGTTTTGGTGGATTTTGGAGCGCAGCGTGGAGTATGTGTGGTGAAATATCTTTGAGGTACGCACGGTCTGAAGCTCATGCAGATACCTACTTTGGAAATGGACGCTGTGGGCGTTGGAGGATCTACCATGTTTCTCTCCAGCTGGACCTTACCTGTTGCTGTGGCAAAGACGTGCGGTACTCTCACGATGCATTTGATCGCTTGTGACGCGCCTTGATAGCTTCCAGTGGAGATGCTCGGACAGCTTGGCGTGATCTTGATTTACCCAGAGGCGTTATCATTTGGAAGGTATTCGACGGCAGCCAGTCGAGAGTGTGCGATGTATGGGCAGGAAAGCACATTGCGATCAGTACTAACGATTTTCCTGAGGATGGTTGGCAGAGAAATATGAAAGTGAGAACAGTCTCTCCCAAGACGCAGGGATACTACCAAGTCGTTGAGCCTGAGGAGGCCGTATTCTACGTGAATCCGCCGGCGCCCTCGGCTCTAACTTGTCTTTTTCAGCCCCCTGCCTACTCTCCCGACGCTCCGTGCGGTGTTGAACTGCTCGGAACGCATCCTCGCCAAGAAGGAACCGCAGCCGGAACGTCCGACCACCGGCAAGTCCAGTCATCCCACGATGACCCCAGAGGACGTGAAAATGGAAGCAATTCGGTCTGAAAGTGGTCTCCATGTTGGACCACGTGGCCATGAAGCGCCGCACGGAGGCCCGCATCGGTGCGAACACCTACAAGAACCTGGTCGGGGACGCCGGCGGCCTGGATGAGGAGGCGGCGCCATCCACACAACAGCCTCGCGACCCACGGTGATGATGCTGCTGATGATGCTGTTGTTGATGCTGCTGATGATGATGTTGCTGCAACTGCTGATGATAGTGGTGGTGAAAATAATGATTATGATGATGATCGTGATGATCAAGAGGATGCGGGTGGTGATGGTGATGCTGATGATGATGGTGATGATGCAGCTGATAATGATGACTACGATGGTGATGGCGGTGCTGATGCGGGTGATGATGATGCTGAGGATGATGAGGAGGATGAGGAAGAAGAGGAATAATAACCGTGTTGATACCACAAAACAGATGGTGGTGATGATGACCTTATTGTTGATGATGACGACGCTGATGATGATGCTGCGGCTGATGATGATAATGGTGATGCTGTTGATGATGTGGGCGATGATGACGATGATGATGAGGGTGAGTATTGTGATTATGTTTGTGATGATGACGATAATGATGAGGGTGAGTATTGTGATGGTGCTGGTGATTATGATGATGACGAGGATGAAGGTGATGAAGGGGAGGAGGAGGAAACATAGGACAAGGAGGAATAAGCGGATGCGGAGGCGGACGCGGAGGCGGAGGTGGATGAGGAGGAGGTGGAGGAGCAAGAGGAGTAGGGGAAAACGGAGGAGGAGGAGGAGGAGGAGAGGGAAAAGGATTCCGATTCATAATGTGATGATGGCGATGGCGATGGATAATGATGGTGGTGATAATGCTGATGATGATGGTGATGGTGATGATGATGGTGGTGATGAGTGTAATGCTGCTGACGATGATGATGATGCTGATGATGATGCTGCTGCTGATGATGATGATGATGCTGATCCCGATGATTATTAGTATGATGATGATGATGATGATGATGATGATGATGATGATGATGATGATGATGATGATGATGATGATGATGATGATGATGATGATGATGATGATGATGATGATGATGATGATGATGATGATGATGATGATGATGATGATGATGATGATGCGCAGGAGGAGGAGGAGGAGGAAGAGGAACGGGTGACGGAGGACAATGTGAGGAGAAAGGAGAGGAGGAGGAAGTGAAGGAGGGGGACGAAAAGGACGACGAAGCGAACTATGCAGAGGAGGAGGAGGAGGAGGAGGAGGAGGAGGAGGAGGAGGAGGAGGAGGAG